ATATATATATATATATATATATATATATATATATATATGTGTGTGTGTGTGTGTGTGTGTTTCCCTCCTTCTTCTCATCAGCCCCCAAAACCATACCTCCTCACCCTCCGTCCAATCGTGACCCAGAAATACCATTCAATGCCGCCGCCGAACCCTCCTCCCATTACGCTTCCCCGCTCCAGCCATTGCGAGACAACACATGCAACATATGCAACAACCAACCAGGCACCCGATGACCCAAACTATGTGAACGAGCTCAGGATACCCGCGGCGGTATCGTCGTGAAGGCCTCCATAAACGTATGAACCAACGGCCAGAAGTTGAGGAGACCCATAACCAAGACGTGAGCTCCAATGATTTTCTACGTCATGCTGCCGTACCGGGTCATGCCAGTCCTTCGGCGGGCAGAAGGCGAGGTAAAGGTCGACTGGCCGTTGGTGCACTCGTTAGCAAGCCGCATGAGGTCTTGGGTGCTGGTACTATGCGGGGTTTGTCCGTTGTCGTGGTTGTTGTTGTTAAGTCGGGAGTGTGTGTAGCTCAGGACTCGCTCGGCGGCAGACCTGGGGAAGGGGACATCTCCCCGTGGGCTGATGCCGTAGTCACGAGCTCTTCTGTGCTCGAGCATAGCTTGCAGGTAGCGCAGAAGCTCCAGGAATTCATCAGGAAGAGAAGGCTGGTTTTGCCCGTTTTAGGGAGATATTGCGACTTGTTAGTTATGTGTGTGTGGTGTCTATAGTCAACGCTTTAGCATTGGGACTAGAAACTCCAGACAGCTCACCTCGAGTACTTTTGATGGGAGCATATCTGGTCTTGAGCATCTTGAATGCACAGGATGATAGGGTTGGTCTTGGTTCTGGGAAAAGAAGAAATGGGACTAGGGACTCAGGACTGAAGAAATAAGAGTTTTAAGAAGGCTGCTCCGGATTTGGGAGAGGCAGGGAATTAGAGAACGAAGATCTGAAGAAATAACCAATGAATTTGAAGACCACATGCATTCATATTCCAAGTTACTGAGCTCTAGTTGGCCAAATGATGATATATCCGTCACAGGGACGCTGTATTCTCTAGATGTGAAGTGGAAATGCATTCACGGTTGATCATGTCTTGCTCTGGGTTGATACTTGAGACATTTGAATATGCAACTGTTGCAAAAGTGAGTCATCATTGAGTCCACCAGGATTTCACGAGCTGCTGAACTTGACCAAGGTCTTGGATCGGAAGCTTGATACCTATCAATCTAATTCTCGGCCCGTAAATCTCCTATCTGTAAAACATTAGGACAGGAGCATCGACGATTCTGATCCTCAAGTTGAGAAAGAGGCGTCACATGCCAACAGAGCCAGGACTTCAATACTCCTTATGCTCCAGTATGGAAGATATTATGTTGATTCAAAAAAGATTTGAGAGTAAAAACATTTTACGACAGAAATCGAACACGAGGCATTCTGTAAAGAGGAAGTAAACTCAAACGACAAAAGTTAAAAAGACGTACAACACCCGGGATTCGCTGGTCGTCACCGACCCAACTACTAACCGGGCCCTCAGTGGCTTAACTAGGGCAGAGCGGACGGGATGCCGTGCTTTCCACTGAGTATGGTCGTACGTGCTAGAGCAGTGTCCAAAGACTGGTATACATGAGGAGGTTTACAGCACGAGCATGCAGCAAACTTGAGAAACCAGCCAACAGAAGATTCTCCCACATAAACTCTTCCCACATCACATGCATAGTTATAGTTCACAGAACACAAGATACGAAACACAAAAACAGAACCTCTACTATTTTCCCGCCAATTCCGGGTCACTCATCTATTCTATTCATTCATCCCGTTGACCAATGTCGCAACACAACGCCATATCATGCCTGTCATGCCCCATGCCTGCGTGTGGGACTGTCCTGTCAGGAATTTTACGGGTATGCCTCCCCCTTTGGCTCCTCCACAACGGACATCAACAACCCGTCCGCAAACTGCAGCCACGTCTGATAAAACATCACCCATGTCCAGCCGGTGCCGGAAGGGACGAAACCACTGCGCACTCTACGCGCTCAGCGTGCCGCGCACGCCGCCCTTCCCGCCGACCTCGCGCGCCGTCACGATGACGGTCAGGTCGGTGTTGACGTTGATGGTAACCTCGACCTTGGCACCCTTCTTCACGCCGCGGACAGCCGCCTCAGCCAGGGTGCTGCCAATCTTCCAGACCTTCTCGCGCTTCTCTTCCTCTTCCTCCTCCTCCTCCTCCTCCTCGTCGTCGTCGTCGAAGTCACCGTCATCATCTGCGTCCTCGGTCTTTTCCTTTGTCTCGCCGTCCTCCTTGGCCTTAGGCTCGGGCTTGATCACGTTGATATGCGTGCTACCCTCGACAACCTTGACCAGGACGTCGCCGCCCTCCTTGGGAGCATCCAGGTGAACGGTGCGGCGAGCAGGGACGGCCGTCTCAGGGGCAATGATGGGGACAAATTTTTCCTCTCCAGACTCGGAGACAGAAACAACGCCAATAGCGTTGGTGACATGGGGCATGGTGGTGACCGCAGCATGGGTAGATTGCTCGATATCCTCAGTCTCAAACTCTTGGATCAAGCTAGCCTGCAGAGCGGCACCACGGGCCTGGAGCTCGGAGGGGTTGAGGGCACTGGGGTCGGTAGAGGGGGCCAATATCCTGGTAGACTCAGGGAAGATGTAGCGGAAATTGGCAGCAATACGGGGAGTGTTAGAGGTGCCACCCGACATGATGACCTCATCAACATCAAGCGGGTCGAGGCCAGCCTTCTTCACAGCAGACTCGACCAGGCGGTTAAAGCCCTCAAAGACAGTGCGGGCAATAGTCTCGTAACGCAGACGGTTGATCGTGCTAGCGAAGTCGAGGCCATCGATAAGGCTTTCGACACTGAAACTAGCATTGGTACTCCGGCTAAGCGCCCTCTTGGTAGACTCGGCCTCAAGACGAAGCTTAGCCAGACTCCTGGGATTCTCACGGGGGTCCTTGGCACCGGGGTTCTTCTTAAGGAACTCCTTAGAGAAGTGGTCAATCAAAACCTTGTCCAGGGCAATACCGTGGTACTCGTAGTCGTGAACGGTGGCGAGGATGGTGTACATGCCGCTGCGGCTAGCAAGGACAGTGACATCGGAGCGGGAACCACCCAGGTCAGCAACAACGATGATTTTGTCGCTGATCGTGGCCTCGGGCCGGGCATCATAGGCCAGGACGGCAGCCGCAGGCTCACTGATCAGCTGCAGGACCTCGAGGTCGGCAGCCGCCGCCGCGGCAATCAGGGCAGCCTTCTGCTTCTCGGTGAAGTTGGTGGGAATAGTAATGACAGCCGACGTAACCTTCTTGCCAAGATACTCGGAAGCAGCGCCCACCAGACGGCGCAGGTAGCGGGTGGCAATCTCAGAGACGGTCAGGGTTGACGGCTCAGCATCCTCCTCAGCCTTGTCCTTGATGGTGAAAACAACGTTGTCGCCGGCTTCTTGTGGATGGGCAGAGGCATGGTTGTGGGTAGGATCAACCGACTTGAAACTGGGGTTTTGTTAGGGAGAAGACTCGAGTTGAAGTGTGAGTGGGACAAAGGACTGCCTACTCTTGCCCCAGGATGTCGCGGAAATAGGCGACGGTGTTCTTGGGGTTCCTGACAAGGAAGTTCTTGGCTTGTTGGCCGTAGTACTCGTCGCCGTCGACGTACGACAGGATGGTGGGGATCTGACGATCTGGAGGAAACGCTAGATGTCAGTAGCTTGCAGAGGGACTGGTCGCACAAGGGCGTATCTCACCGCCGTCCTCGTTCGCGATTACCTCAGCCTTGTCGTCGACGGTGTGGGCAATCGAGCTGTTGGAGTTGCCAAAGGTAATGCCGATGACGACGCGCTCGCCCGGCGCAGCCTTGGATGCTGACTCTGCCATGGTTATTGGTTATGGGTTATGTTATAAAATTAACTCTAGAAGATATGAAGAGATTCGAGGCCACAGCGAGGAGAAAAGAGGCAGGAGGTGTATATGTGATGCTGTGAAGGGAGGATGTCGCTAAGTTTAAGTGTTGGATGGTGGGGGATCGAGATCACTTTTTCAAAAATTTGGGCCTGTCGCCCTGTCGCATGCTGGGCTACGTGCCCCGCTCTGACATGGGTAGAGGTACCCGCCCTTCAGCAATAGCTGATTTCATAGCATCTATCTGTGACCCCAACGACTTAAGGCTTCTCATTTTGAATATCAAAGTCATAGAAGTACAATTACTAGCTTAATTAAGCGCAAAAAGTGCACTATTTATCAATGAGCAAATGTATTTTTTTTTGCAATTGAGGTGACGTAGGGACTGATCCTCAAAGTACCTCTACCATGCCACCCACCACAACGGCGCAACCCCACTAAGGCTGGACCAGCGGGGCGGGAAGCAGGCGAGGCTGCGCGCGTGCTGCGCTGTGGGCTGGAAACTTTCAGCCCGCCAAACCAAACAAAGAAACTGAAAACCCAACATCACCACCAAAAACCGCCATAACCCCAAAAAAGTCATAACCACAACCAGCGCGCCATCATGTCCACCACAACACGTCCATTCGTTCTCCCTGGCGAAACAATAGACCCGTCGCTGGTCCCAACACACCCCAAACACCCTCTCCGTCTTGGCCCTGGCTTGCGCCATGTCCCGCCCAGCGATATCATTCCGACCGTCGCGGGCCAACTGATCACCAACCTGAACAAAAACTCCATGTGGGTTGAGTATAACTCGCAGCGCGTAAGGCAATTTCCCAAGAAACCCCATCTCCAAGCCCTCCACTCACCAATCATCAGTACGTCCCAACCCAAAATGACCTCGTCCTGGCCCAAGTCTTGCGCTCAACCCAAGACTCCTACCTTTGCCTCATCACCCCCCACACCCCGCCTGCAACCCTCCCCCACCTAGCCTTCGAATCTGCCACAAAAAAGACCCGTCCCCAGCTCCAACCCGGCCAGCTCGTCTACGCGCGCGTCTCTCTCGCCAACCGACATATGGACCCCGAACTAGAATGCGTCAACCCCTCGACGGGTAAAGCCGACGGTCTCGGCCCCATCACCGGACCCGGCTGTGTGTTCGAAGTATCGCTTGGTTTTGCGCGGCGGCTGTTGATGGCCAAGAGCAGGGAGGAAGGGAAGGTGGGCGTGCTGGAGATGCTAGCGGGGGAGGATCCGAGTATTGGGGAGGCGGGGGCGGGACTAGCGTTCGAGACGGCGGTGGGGAGGAATGGACGGGTGTGGGTTGGGAGTGAGGATGTGAAGACGGTGATCATTGTGGGACGGGCGCTTCAAGAGACAGATCGAGGGAATTTGACAATTGAGGGGCAGAGAAAGTTGGTGAGGAGGTTGTTGAGGGAGATGAGGTGAGGGGGTGACACGTGTCAAGAAGGTTATCGAGAGGATATTTTGGGCTGAGTAGCCCTCCAGGACTTGATGGACGTGTCGCGGGGCATAGGACATACGGGGTCCCCCATGAATGAGACCACAGCCGCGCGAGCCAAGCGGCGATGCGTCAGCAGAATCTACCAGCACTCGGACCAGTTCACCTGCACTTGCACAAGAGGGGCGGAAAGAAAGTGGTCAAAACCCAACCCAGGGAATGCCTTCAAACATGTCCATTTCCCGCGCGGTCTGCAACGCAGACCTAAATAAAACAAGGCCAAGCTCATGAGCTTGTGCTCAGAGCCTTTCGAGGCTCCAAATGCTAACACCATAAGAGTTTTATTTGTATATACACTGGTAAAAGAGCACAACCGAATACCCTAATAATGAATGTCCCATCCCAAATGATGATATAATTTCTAAGTCCTGTACACCTTGCTTGCTTGTTGATCCGAAAAAAAATCCCATCCCAAAAAGTACCCTTCTCAAACATAGACATGTCTATCTCGAGGGGATATGCTCTGTAAAAAAAAAAAAAAAATCAAACAACCATGACAATGAGAGCTAGCTCAGCTGATGGGGCGCTGCCCTTGGCGTTTATGATATCTGGACCTGCCTGGCTTTAGGGTCCAGCCAGGACGTGACTCCGGCGTCCTGCGGCACGGGCTTTCAGCCGCTCGTCCTGCGTCGCGGCATAGTTGAAAGGTATAACCTTCGAAGTAGATGGAAAGCAAGTTATAAAGCCGCACGCAACAAGCCTCATGTCGCCGTGGTATCCATGGCGCCGTCCTCGCTGAAATCAGCATCCGGCCCGGTGTCCGGATCGATCTGATGCTTATTCTTCATGTGCCGGCGCCAGTTATCCTTGCGCGGGAACGACTTGCCACCCTGGCGTGAGTAAGGGCAGTCCGGCACGGTGCAGAAGTAACGGCGCGTCTTGCAGTGCCGGTCGTTGATGTGCCGCTTGAGATGCGTGATAGTGCCGAAGCTGCGGTCGCAGCCGGGGTACTCGCAAGGGAAGGGCCGCTTGTGGTACCTCAGATGATGGCTGGGAAACTGTTAGTCATTCTGGGCTCGTAGAAGTGAATCGATCTCCTGGCTCATGGGTACTCACTTGAACTCATACATGGTACTCTTGACAGTACCACAATACTTGCAGATATAGCCATCCTCTGGCCGGTTGGCAGACCGCCCTAGAGATGGTGCTGGTGATGGCCTGGCCGATGGATTAGGAGACAAACTTGCTGCACTCCCTGGGGATATGGTGATTGCTGGCGCTGGTGATGGTGAAAGGGCTGATGAGGGGTTTGATGAAGGGTCAGGAGGGAGCCCTTGTGATGGAGCAGGCATAAACCCAGCTTGTGTCACGCCGAACGGTTGGGCATTGCTGACTGGCATGTCCAAGTCACCCTGTGAAGATGGGGATCCAGGATATGGTAGTGGTTGTGTGTCAGGGGTGTTCTGCAGGGAATTGACATTTGAAGGAGGAGGGGTTGTGTAATCGTTGACCACCGCCGTCAGTGCCGGTTGGCAGAAGCCTGTTGTTGCGTCGTGAGTTTGCATACCGGCACCAGCATCACTGCCACGATCCATCATTCCAGGAAGTGGTGACTGGTATGGTGAGGGGGTCTGGTATGGTGTTTGAAACGGAACCTGGAGATCTGGCTTGGGACCGGTGACAGAGACGCCACACTGGGCGTTGTCAAGAGTGCTCGATAGCGGTGAGAGGGTGTCAAGAGGCATCTGGGGAGAGTTCTGGATCATCTTGTTGATCTCATGCTCCAGGCGCCAGGCGTTCTCTGTCGAATTTGTTGGTAACATTAGATCCATGGGATTGCCACTCGGACCGTTGTTGGCGTACTGAAGAGAGGGGGGAGCGGCAAGATCCGCCAGGAACAGGGGGGGCTCCGAAAGTGTATCGGAACGCTGCGGAGCGGAGGAGCTCGTAGTGCTGAGGTTGAAAGCCTGTTGTCCGCCGAACGTGGGAGGAGCAGTTGTCACTGCCTGGTTACCGCTATCGGACAGAAAAGAGTCAGGTTCGGCCGTAAGGCCCAAGTTCATAGAAGAGCTCTCGAGTGAAGTGTCGAGCCCAGCGTTGGGACCAAGGGGGACCGACGTCGGGATGCTAGTCTGAGGCGCAAAGGCCGGGGCGGGTTGAGTCGAATCTAGTGAGTGACCGAGGATTTCGGCAATCTCAGCATCCAGTGCCTGCGCTTCGTTGTAGTAGCTCCAGTTCAGACCCTTCAGATTCGGGTCGTACGTGAGCAAAGGATCAGATGCCGCTGGGACTGCGGATTGGTCTGAAGCCGGGAATAAGTCAACAGTGAGGACAGAGGGCGACCGTGTTGTGTGGGCGCTGGTGACGGTCGGAGAACTCCGCTTGCTCTCCTTCCGTGAGGATTTTGTACCCTTCCGCGTGGACTGACGGCCGCTGATGAGATTGCGAAATGAATCTCTGAGGTGAGGAAAGCGCCCCTGAGCAGGCGTAGCAGAGGACTCGTCAATAGATTCAGGCTCTTCTGTGATGCCTGTTGAGGTTATTTGCTGAGGGGCGTATGAGTCGCTACGACTAAGCTGGCCGACGGTACCCTTGGAAAGCGTTCGAGATGGAGTGGCTGTGAGAGGATGAGGTACCGACGTTCCTTGAGGCAAAGGTGCCTGACCGTCGGTTGGTGTTGGAGACTCGGGAGAAACAGGTGATATAGGTGATGGTAAGCCCTGAGAAGCAGCTCCGAGCTTCTGGTCTGGTGAGGCGGAGCGTTGCTGACCTTCTTGACCACTTGTTGCTGTGACAGATGTGGTCGCCGACGACTGTTGGTGGTCGGGGGTAGTAGTGACTGTTGTGCCGGGGCTGGTGTCGAGGGCCGAGTCAGGACTGGGGGAGATGCGCTCCTTTGAGTATCTCTTAGACGACGACGACCGGCCATCATGGTCGTGGCCGACGTCATCGGCGATGGGGCCTCCGGGGCTCTGCCCCATCTCGGCCAGGCCGGCACCGTCATCATGGCGCGTGAGCCATCGGCGCCTTGCACGGACAATGAAGGGGAAGAGGCACAATGCCAGCAAGAGGGCGCCGACGACGGAGCCGATCACAGCCCCAGCGGTGGCTCCCGAAGACAATGACGTCGATCTGGGAACGAGCACGGAGCGGGCCGGCAACGGCGGAGGCCTCTCAGGCCGCGCCGCGGCACGGTCGAGATGCTGCGACAACTGCATCAATCGTGATGCTCGCGGGCAGCTAATACACCAAGAGCAGTCGGAAGTAGGGGAAAAAAAGCGCCTAAGGAAATCTGGTTTGGGGAAGCGTCAAGCTATCAATGCAAGAACCTGCAGGGGTCTCTGGCGGTCGGCCCAGCCACGGTCCACGATCCACGCTGTGGATGCTGCGCCAAGTGTCAATGAGGCTGTGCCTGTCCTGGCCCTACGATGCTGCACCGCTGGATTACTGCTGTGGAATAGCCGCGTGTGTTGCACTTGTACGAAGGCCAATCGATTGTGTCTTGTCTCAGTCGGGCGTGTGTTGCTCTGTGTGTTCGCGTAGTGTAGAGCTAGCGATTCCTAATTTGCGTGAGGGCGCTGGTCTGCTGTAGCCGAAGCTAGAGAACGATCTCGATGATAGCCGAAGACATAGTGAAGGAAAAAAAAGAGAGAGCTGAGCTGGAGGAGCCGAGAATCTGCAGAAATTGATTGAAGGCGGAGAAGGCGAGGGATGCTGCAAGCTGCAAAGTCGGGGGTTGGGATTCGGACGGATGACAGAAGCAATCGCCAATGCAAACTCAGGATCTCAGGTTACCCAGACTCTCCTCAGATGCCACGGGGATGTGTGATGTAGGTCGAGCAGCATGTAAGCACAGAGCACCAGCTGGATCTGCATGAGACGGATGGAATAGAGCACTAGAGAGTTCAAAGAAGCAGGCTAGTAGAGTCACCGCAGCGACTTCACCAGCCTCATGCTCAAAAGCGTTGAAAGGGGCGGGCGGGATGCGAAGTTGAGACAGAGCGGACAGGACAAGATCGAAGCTGGGGACGACACTAGCGCAGACTGAAAGCCTTTCCCCCTCTTGTCGCGAAGCTGTGCGACGGTTGGGTGTAATGATGCTGCCCAGTGGCCTGCAGAAGATCCGACAGAGAACAGCGCAGAACAGCAGCGTCCAAGCAGCAACACTGGCAACAAGCCAGCAACAACACAGAGATACTGGCGGTTGATCGATCAAATGGATAACGGCCAAAGATGGAAGCTGTGGCTAGCAGGCGGTGGTCGGGGAGCTGGCCGCCAACACAGAGCGTCCGGCCAGTGGTCCAGGGCTAACAGCCTCGACAGGGGATATGAGTGGACAACTGGTTGCCTCCCGTACCCGTGGACGGAACTCCCGCTTCCAAAAGTGACACCCCGCTTGCCAATTCACCTCATTTCACTCTGACGCCGCGCTTCAGATGCGCACTCATACCACTAGCTTCACAATCTTCATCTGAGCTGCCAAATCCGCATCGTTGGGCCGGCTTGCATTCGAGTCTGCGCAGGGAGACAAAACGATGCAATTCACGTGACCACAGTTAGATGCCATCGAGCATTTTCCTCGGACCGGGGTCTACCCGTAGGCGCGGTGAAAGAATAAAGACGGTGAAGAATGAAGACCTCCAGACGAACAGGCGATCCAGAAAAGTGTTCCTGGTGCCCCATCTTAGCCATCCTTGGCTATCCTTAACAGCTTGGCGTTCCCCACATTTCATGTGGCACGGGCCACACCCAAACCGGTTGTCCACTGGCCTCACCAGTGAGGCGTGCTGTGAGGGCGCGGGTCGGTCTCGGGACAGCCGAATTCTATCCAATCGCTGCCCGGGCCCCAAAGATAGGCCGTTTACCTCCCACATATCGACGATGACTTCATACCTCGACATCGTCGGCACGACGGCAACCAGCCTGCGCCTCGACTACTCTCTCCTGAAGATATGCGAGCGATACCGGCAGTGTAAGGCGTCCACCAGATCATGTTCGTCATCTGCAGGAACCAGGTATTTGGGACCGACGCATGACCCGCGGGGTAAATGAGGCGAAGCTGTGGGGACGGTTTTCCCCAGATCGACCCAGATGATATGTTTGTAAGGCTTTTCGGGGTCTCGGTATGCTTTAAGTCGGAGTGTGTCTACGTACGAGTTAATCATGAATGCAGTTCGGGTATCTTTCCAGCCTGACGGAGAGTTTCTTGTGTGGCTATCGAGGGCTTTTGCCAGTCATCCCTGAAATTTGGAGCTCATTCGGCCGCATGTGAGGCGCACGCAGACAGGTAACAGAGAGCTTGTATCAATTGCCTACGTATGTTGGTTAGCTTGGAAGCTGCACTGCCCTGGCGTTGACGGCAGCCCTGGGCCACAGGCTGCCAAGGGGGTTCTCGAAGAGTTGGGAGGTCGAGGTTCAGCTCTCGTTAAGATGAAAGCCCAAGAGGTAGACGAGAGTTTCGAGCTTCTCTTTTTGACCCATCTTACCACAGCGCTCAGTCATGGACTGAAAAGTTCCCGTAGCAGGAAATAAAACAGCTGTTCTCCTGCCCCCGAGTCGTCAGTCAGAGCACGGCGCACTGGCTCACTGAATTGACGATGACGCAGTCGACCAAGGCAACTTTATCCACAGGGTCTTTGCCGGTCACGCGTAGCCCGTGCTTGCAAGTCATGACGACTGTCAATGCAAGTAAGTTCGGTTTTGAGTGATTAAATGTGTCGTGCCTGGTTTGGTGAAGCGAGTTCTTGAAGGTTTAGACAGGGACTGAGAAAGCCCACACCAACATCTCGAGAAGTCAATTCCAATCAAAAAGAAAACAACATTTGCTAAGAGAGAAGAATATCTAAACAATGAGGCGCCTCTCCATGATTGCCGTTACGACGGCAGTGGTCATTTCTGCCCTAGCAAGTCCAGTTCCGGATCGGTCTCAAGTCCCCTTCGCTTGCGAGGCAAAGGAAGGGCAGTCTTATTGCTCTCTATCTCCCAAAAAGGATCCAGTTCAAGCATGGTGGGACTGTCTCCCCTGGGAACAGGCTCGTGAACTGTATTCCGATGTCCTTGGCGAAGACCTCATTCGGGACATTCACCTGAGCCACCTGGTTGATGAGAACATCGATCTCAGTCATGCCTATGCCAGCGACGAGGATCATCATCCAGACCATGGCCACGGCCACCACGGCCATCGCGGTCCCAGTTTCCCCGACAAGACTATCTATGAGGTGATTAGCGAGTGTGAGCATGTGAGTCGTTTTTTCAAGCTTGTCGAGGAGCATGACGGCATCAAGGAGCTGCTCGACGATGACAAGCATAACCACACCTTGCTGTTGCCGACGAACGGGGCGTTTTGTCGTCGGCGCTGTCGCCATGGCCATCATGGGCATGATGGGCACGGAGATCACGACGGCCACGGTGGCCATGGTCATGATGGTGACCATGACCACAGCTCTGATAACGAGAGTGATAGCGATCATGACGGTGACCATAACCATGGTCATGACCACCATCACGACCATGACCACGATGGAAATCACGACCACGACGGCGACCACCATCACTGCCCTCACTGGAAAGAATTTATCGACTCCCTCCTCCATTACCACATCCTCCCTGGCCGCTGGCCCCTCTGCCGCATCCGGCACTCCAAGACCATCCCAACCTCCCTCCATCCCCCAGGCCTAGGCTTCTCATCCGAACTATCCCCCAAATATCACCATCATCACCCCCAACGCATCCGCTCCTTTACAACCCCCTTCCTCCAACGAACTTACCTCAACTTCCGCACAGTCCTCACCCCGCACACCGTCACAATCCACGCCAAAAACGGCATTATCCACCTCATCGACTCCCTTCTCATCCCCCCTCCCAACCAAACCACCGCCCTACGCCTTCTCCCCTCACACTTCAGCACTCTAACGCTCGCGCTCGAAACAACAGGCCTGGCTTCCGAGCTCGCCGACCTGCCCCGGTCAGGAGGAGCAACCTTCTTCGCTCCTGATAACCACGCTTGGATGAGGCTCGGCCGGAGGGCGAACGCCTTCCTCTTCTCTGAGCACGGAAAGCCGTATTTGAAAGCCCTAGTGAAGTACCATGTGGCATTGAACGAGACGCTGTACTCGGATGCATTCTATTCAGGCAAGAAGGGGCATCATGATGGAAATGAGATGGAAGCGGGCTTTGGATTTGGGTATGAGCATGTGGATTTGACGACGCTGCTGCATGATCTGCCGCTGAGTGTGGACATCCGGCGTTGGCATGGTTGGGTGACGATTTTGGTGAATGGGTTTACGAGAGTGTTGATTCGTGATGGGGTTGCAGCTGACGGGGTGATTCATGTTATTGATCAGGTGCTGGTTCCGCCGTGTAAGCATGGAGGCAATGGCGAGAACTTGAAAAGTGGAGAAGTGAGCGTGGAGGAGCTTAAGGCCCGGTTGGAGCCGTACGTCGAGGACGAGACGCGGCTGTCGGGAGCTGCTATGATGGACACATGTACTCAAGAAGCCTTGTATATGAAAAAGGCTGGGCAGAAGTATGTAGCGGCGATAGGAGACTTGTGAGTGTGATCGTGTGAGTTAAGTCGCCAGTTGGCGTTAGGCCCGGTTTGTATCATAAACTCCTCAAAACCTAGGTCATAGTCAAACAAGCAATAGCTTCCGATTAGCCCCTAAAAACTCCAGTGCTCACTATAAAACAGCATCCACAATCCTTCCCTGATCAACATCCACAGCAGCCCATCTCTGCTCCCTACACCTCCGTACCCAGCCTTCGTCCCCCATATGATCGGCCACTACCCTTTCAAGAACGCCAGTCTCGTCCAAAAGCACCTCAACCACCCATGTATACGAGACTTCTACCAACCCTCCTCCAGGACGAGCAGCAACAGCCGCTGCGTCAACCTTTGTCCTCGGCACCCTAGTGCATAAGAGATGGAGGTCGACCATTTGCGCAAACACTTGGCCAAACGCAGGCTTGTTACGTTGTGCTGGGTCCCGCACAAAACGTCCTGGAACGTTACACGGATGATGACGTCTTAGAGGAGAAGACTGTGGTGCGGGATTGAAGATGGAACAAAGAGTGGGCTCTACCTGTTTGGAGAGCTTCATTCCCTTCCCTATGATGGATTCGTCATGTGAACTTGACGTGGGGGAGATTGTAGAGTTGAGCAACATGAAAACAGGCCCGTTCATGGCAGAGGAACGAGCAAAGGAATGCAACTGAGAAGAGAGCAGGAGCATAGTGTCGTGGGCTGGTTGCTTGTCACGACTGGCGAAGAGGGCGTTCAGCAGGTTAGACATATGTGCGACAAGGACAATATCCGGAACTGAAGAAACAGTTTGAGCAAGCTCCGCTGGGGGTAGTTGTATATCAGGGGGTTCTTGTGGCAATGGTTCAGGAGAGCACAGGTCTTCTTCTTCGCTATCCGGAATCTCAGTCCGTTCCCGTTCCTCAGGGACAGCCTGTTGGTGAGATTTTGCAGGCTCACCAGCTCCCGGGACCTTAGCGTTCTTCTGTAGCTCTTGTGCATGAGTCTCAGCCGAGATAGCAGCCTCTCCAAGCTCCTTTAAGACCTCTTTGAACCCGTCGATATCGAACACTCTGGCAATAGAGATCCTCTCCAGGCACTGCTTGACCCTGGACTGCAGGCTGTCTAACCCCTGAGCAGAAAGCTGGTTCATCAACGCGGCCCGGAGCTTGGGAAGTATCATCGCAGTTGGCAGCGTTGTCACGATCATTGTCCTGGCACAAGTATTAGAGGTCAGAGTGCAGGCGATCATTTGCAGACCAAGCTGAATGAGAGATGGTCAGCCTGAAGGGCGCAGAAGAGTCTGTACTCTGTTACTTAAAAGAGACTCACCAATAAGCCTAACTCCTCATCCTCTGCGCTCACTCCAACAACGGAACCGCGCTCAAACCCGCCGAGCAGGACATAGTTGTCAAGCGCACTACATCCAGTCACTATCCTGCCCTTTTTATCGGCCAGCTTTCGTTTGGCTAGTTCGTGGTCGAGCAGTATTGATGCAGGAACAGGCTCGAGCTGTCCAGGAGAACAAGCTTCAAGATCCATGGCTGGCCACAGTATCAATATGATTAGATAAACAGCCAAACGTGAGAGGGAAGTCTAGGAGGTGCTGGAGTTGTCGGCCAAACGGTCGCTGCGAGGGCCATCATTGTTATGGAGACGGGTCAGCTCTCTGGTCTAACCGAGGGGTTAAAGCTTTGGTGCACATGACACAACCAGGTAATACATGGAACTTCTTGAACTTCCAAAACAAATGAATCAAAACTTCGTAAAACCTTGAGATAAAGATTCCAGAAGACCAACAGGTGGGAAACCACGACTCTGGGGAAACTCAGAGCCTGGAGTTCGCCCCTTTAAACCTCAATGTTGGATAGAAGGAAGGGGCGTTGTCCCCAAAACGACGCTATGCACATATCGCAGTATGACGAAGATCTTGCTCGACCTTACATCCGCCGATGACACGTCGCAATGCTCTCTTCTCAACTGGATGATGTTTGTCAGGCTACATCAAGGTTTCTCGCTACACTGAAACGAGAATCCTTCAACCAACAGATGCAACGCTTCCCGACCATCGGGTCGCCCCACCAACTTCACCACCTCAGATCCTTACCCACAAGTTTCAGCCCCTGATGATCCTATCATTAGAAATTTGTCACCCTTGAGGCAACGTTAGGGATGATTACATCAACAAGTCACCACACAGACAGACGATGGAAATGTTAAGGCGAGAAGATCAGCCGGGCTCGATTATGAAAGGGAACAAGGGTGAAGAGAACTCTGATGTCGCTACGTAATACTAAGTAGAGTACGTATAGTAAGAGTGGTGGTAGCAGTTAGTGAAAAAGGAAAACAAAACAATAGTCATTACAACAACAGTACGTCGACACTACTCTCCTATTCCATCCAATATCCCCCCGATGTCAAATCCTGCCGGCCACAGAATTGCCCAACAACCAGCCGGCCGTTTAACGGATTCGATGACATGCCACAGGCAAAAAGCCCGGGACATGCATGCATTGTATGAGGGCTGTTCCACATCTCGTCGTGATAAACGATCTGTCTGTCCGTCCTGGGACAGGACAAAGCCCAACCGGAACCAACCGCCTAACCTAGGCACCTTGGTATGCCAACCCCATACATCCTCAATCCCAAACCAGGTCGATACCCTATAAGGTACTCTCCCAAATCTCCATTGCTCGGAAAACCAACCCACAAACCCACAGACCTGTGAAGTACCACCACTGCTCTTAACCACCGTTACCCATAGTAGTGTCCTATGGATGCATCATGTCCCCAACTAAGTTAGGGAAAAGGGAAACAGAAACCAAATGCGAAGAGGTAAGCAGGGACTATGTACGTCGAAGTGTGATGCATCAAATAAAGGACCGGGAAAAAAAAGACATTTGCGATACCCCGACATTCACTTCACCCGTCTGGAGCCAGCACGTGACCTCGTGCGAAACAACGCTCTCCTCTTCCGCTTAAACACTGACAAACGATTTCTCTAAATCGCTGTGCCCGGCATGGCCCCAGCATCGGCATCCGGTGGTGCAGGAGGCTTCCGCCGACCCTTCAGACTCTTCATGCGACCAAGCAGACCGGTAGGCTTCGAAGGCGGGGGAGGGGGAATAGGACGCGCGGTCTCCTCGCTACCGGCGGTGACCGTACCGTCGGCGGTGGCTCGGCGTTCAAGTGCCACGCCGATGTTACCACCCTTGGGGCTACCAGGTGCCTCAGCCTTCCGCACCGAGAAACCCTCATCGCCACCTCTATACTCGGAGTTGAAGAAAGGGTTGTTGCCCGAAGGACCACTCTCGGATTGCTTACGCACGTACGAGTCGGAAGAACCGAACCTGGTCGGTTCGCGATTGCCTCCCTTAATATTGCGAATACGGTGGGCAAGAGACTTCTTGCGCTGGAGACCCTCGTTCATCAACTGCGCCTGGCGTTCCTTTTCGCGTTCCTCGATCGCCGAACGGGCAGCTGGCGTGCCTTCCAAGAAGGTCGACGTGCCGAGACCGAGCGATTCGTCGCCGTGAAGGACGGTACCGCGGCTGAGAGGGTCAAACACGGGCACTTCAGTCTTGCTGGAGTATTCACCGTTCCGATCCTTGCCACTGCTGGACCACTCTGAGAATGCTTCCTCGTCGCCATGACCAAATAAGTTCGAATGATCAGGTCGCGAGTTAAGAGGGCCGGGACCACCAATGGTGTTGTTCAAAGAGCCTTCAGGGAAAGCTTGCATAGGAGCGCGCCGGCTGCCTTGCCGGTTGCGGTGAGGGTTCAAGGCATCGAAGGGTCCGTCGTGGTGGAAAACTACGAAGAAATGGTCAGCAAGAGATATAAGAAATGACAAGTTAACGGTGCTAAAGACACTCACTTCCTGTGCCATAAATGCTGGTTGCATCCAGCTGGTCAATAATGTCGAGCTTGCGGCTCGGCTTGGGCTTCATCTCCTTGTGCCTACGCTCGCGCTCGCGCCGGCGCTCGCGCTCTCTCCTCTCCTCCTCGGTCATGGTCCTGCTAGAATCCATAATGGATGATTCCGAGTTCCGGCGTGGACGCCGCTCAGGTCGGTCGGGCCGCTCTGGACGCCTATGAGGCGAACGAGGAGGTTCTGGGTGCCCGTGTTTGTCCGGCGCACCTTGCATTTTGCGAGCACGAAGGGCCTCTTCCTGGGATCGGGTCGGGCGATGATTCGGCGGGGGAGGGCCACGGCGTCCGGGAGGAGGGGGAGGAATGCCTTCGCGGAAAGGAGGAGGAGGGGGTCGGCGATCTTTAGGCGGACCTTGAGAAGGGTTCGGAGGGCCTGGACGCGGCGGGGCTTTCGAAGTCGCTGGCGTGTCCTCGAGACTCAAAGAGCCCTGGCGTCAAACCAATCTGATTAGTTTTTGTTTTTTTTTTTTTTTTTACATTTTGTGCCAACCGTTCAAACGGTTTGCGAAAACATACAAAAATCTCCTCAGCCGTGAGCGATGGTCGTTTCTCGAGAGGCGGAAGCTCCGACGATGACCGCATGTTGGAAAAGCTGGCTCTGCTCGTGATGGCGGGGTCGAGAAAAGGGTTACGCGAAAGCGGGCGCGGAGGGGGGTCGTCGAAAGGAGAGACAGGCGGCGGGGGAGAAGCAGCAACGGCGGGCGATGCAGCGCGATTGCGGAAAGGATTGTTGGAGTTGAGATTCAAGAGCAAGCCAGACGGCTGCCGGTCTATGTAAATGGGCAGATGCAGTCAGCAAATTGGCCAAACAAAAATAGTGGATTTGGATCGCCGGTCCATGCAGGCAAATGACGACGCTGATAGGGGATGAAACAGTAATCTCCTTTACATGACACAGCGGGCTCAAATGGCAGGGCGGGCTGGTGGGCTTGCCCAGGTGCCAGCGCGGCATCCTTGGACCATGGACAGATGCCGAAAAAACTGGGAAGCAGAGCACTCGCATCCATGTGCGCTGTTGGCTATCCGCAAGCACCAAGCGGCGAAGCAAGAAAGCAGAGGCGGCGAACAGGGGAATGCGTCCAGGGCGCCATCCAGGATGGTGGCATCAATTAAAGTGAGAAAAGGGGTAGGGGGACGGGGACGGAGACGGCGATGGGGCTCACCTTGCTGCCCTTGCGAAGTTGCCATGATGGAAAGTGGTTTGGCGGGAAATCTGCCCGGTTGACGATGTTCACGGCAACAGTTTGCGTGCCGAGTGGGTTGATGCGTTCTTAGAGCGCCCTGTGCTACCGTGTCAAAATGTCTTGGACCGAATTCCTTTGACCAGGGCTGGCGTCATACCAGTGGGGATAAGGAGCGTTTTCAGACGGCGGCGGGTCGCTACCACGTTCTGGAAGTTAACGTGGACTGTAGGGACCGTGTCAACCGAGAAACGCGCTTTTTTTTTTTTTTACCCCGTCCCCGCTCGATATGGAAGATTTGATCGTTTTGATCCGAATCGACGTTCCAACCCTTTTTAGATGCGGAAAAGGGCCATCAATCGTAGCCGTGGGTGAGGACTCCGTCGCAATCTCGGGAGGGCGGCGGGATCGACTTTCGCACGCAGCCGAACTGCGGGTTGTGCTGCTCCAGGAATGCGAGTGCAGTGAGGCGTTGCGAGGGGGGGGGAAAAAGAAGCAAGGTAGGTAGGTTGACGAAGAATGCTGTCAAGTAAGGTATGTGTGTGGTTTACGCTTCTACGGGGCTGCGCAGCCAGGCGGGCAAGTCGGTCGGCAGATCGGCCTCGCAGTTTGGCAGCTGGAAAGTCCCAGGTGTTCGGATATGGCTGGCGACGCGTGGTGCGGTAGATGCGGCAGCAGACGCAGGTTGCTTCCAGAGTGTTGATTCGCAGCCCTGTGCTTTCCCGTTCTCCACGTTGCGCTTGCTATCCTGAGGCTCCCGCTGCAGGGTCGGCGCAGCAACCTGGAAGATATGGCTCTGGCTCTGGGGCAGCGAACTGGAAGTGCTGGCGGCAGAAATATCGCGTGCGGCGCACACACAGGATGAGATGGAAGGGAATCCGTGAGCACTGGACAGGTGACTGCGTGACTGCGATTCTGCCTTGGGGTGTTCAGTTTTCAGGGACGCGGTGGATGAGATCCCGCGGATGCAAACGCCGGGCGGGCGAGAGCTGGTGCGGAAGTGGGAAAGGGTTGTCCTTGGAGAGATCTGGGGCTTGTGCGCGATGATGGCCAGCTGCAATTGGCCTAGGGCCAGTTGAGAGTCACAACGCGCTCAAACGCCTTCCACCTGTTCTCGTGGTGCAACGCTCTGGCTGGGAGCTCCCGTCGTTGCAATGCAAACAGCAGGACAGGAAGGAAAGGCGGCAGATGAGAAGGAGGGAAGGGAGCCGTTGATGGTTGTTGATCCTGTGTGCGAGCTCTCTGTGCTGTGCTTCTTCTCCTCAACGAGGCCAGGTCGCGCTTGTGGATCGGTGGAGATCGGGAGCGCGATGCCAAAAATGGGCAGCGGTGTATGGCCACGGATTGCCGAGAGCCTGGTGAGGGTTGCCCCTGTGCACAGCCAAGACAATATATTTTACTGCTGGTTTTCGCAACGCAGTGACACTAATCAAGCGACTGATATAGTGAATTGAAATTCTCGAACCTCTATATTTTATTTTTTTCTCCCAATTCAGCTAGAAAAGGGGGAACAAAGGCAACAGAACGCGGCTTGTGATGCGGAGATCTGCCACCCAACAGATTCAGACTTTATGCTTGACGCTTGGCCCGCACCTGTTCTTCTTGGTGGGGTAGCTGGGGATCCACCATGCCTATTGTGGTTGGCTACACGCCGTCCCTGGCCTCGCCATCCAGGGTCAGGGCCGGTTCCTTGCGCCAGCCATTCATGCGCCCCTGGATACAACAGCAGGGACCAAACCGACAGAACATGAGATGAGGTCACCGCTGGCCGTGGTATATCTTAAACGACCTATCGCCAGAGAAAGCGATCACAGCCGTCAACATCCGCTCAGATTCGTCAATTAGATGCTCAACATGAGTTGCAAGCTTCTCTGAAGCTCAGTATTGTATTCACATACTTCTTTTAGTGAGCCAAGCACCTGCAAACACCTGAAATCAGTCGATGCGCATCGGGTGCTTTCGCGACCATTCCAGGAGCTAGGTCCCGTGTGTCGAGCTCCCGGCGGGATTATGACCGCAAATGTTTAGTGGTGTCTACTTATACAAGCTGAGAAGTCTTGTCAAGGTCTTAAAGCAGCAGGGTGAGGATCAGTCCCAATTCATTGTTCTTTATTAACGTGCTATGGAGTGATTGCTCTGCAATAACACCAGAGTCCCCTATTGACATCACCAATACATACTCTCTCGGAGAGCCAACCGAAAAAGAAAAAAAAAAGGGGGGGATCACCCGAAGGTTCTTCACACTCTTGAGGTTCCCTGCCCCGCAAAGCATGGGGGAGTGAGATGAAAAAAAAAAAATTCGCATGGCCGCGCCACTTCTTCCCTTAATCCCAGTCAAGATGAGCTAAGACCGAGAAACAAGTTTATCTGCCTATCTTGTCATCAAGAAAGGTGCCACTGCGTGCTCGATATGAGCAAAAGGTTCCAGCCGGAGGAACGCCACTCTAGAAACATGGCAGTGGAGAAAGGTGATCAGAACTCAATTCAACTCATCGAGTCCCGCTCTGGGGAAAGGGGGACAAGTGCTCCAGACAAAGGGGAACAGATATTCTCACCCAGGGGTGATGCCCCTCTTTCCTATCTGAGCCACCCAGTTCTGTGGGGTATAACCTAGCCATAACCTTTGCCCGGGCGGGTGAGGATCAATCTTCACCTGATTGAAGATGGATAATCTCGAAGAAACTTCATCGTTTGGGAGCGATAGATTACTGACACTCAAATCCAATACCGGGTGTAGATTGTGCGGTAAGTCGACGCTTGTCTAATGAACCCAAGACCGCTTCCAAGCAAGCCTATCAGGTAAGTAGTCGTCAGCCTTTGTACTGGAACCAATTGAAGAGGTCTATCTTGTGCTGGTATGTATTTGCAGCCCTAAGTTCAACTGTTTAATGCGACATGACAGTTTGAGTGAGACCTCATTGGATCTCACCTGATGACACATGGACAGTTGAAAACTGCTGCGTAGCTTGCTTCTAATGACAACGTGAGGTTTGCTACCATGTCCGACCTACCCTTAAGCTGAGCTGTCTACACACAGGCTTCGTGTCGGTGTGTAGACGGGCTTTAAAATGCAAAACACGAATATTGTTACTTGCCAGCGTGCCCAAATAGCTCAGCAAATATAGTTCAGTTTTCTCCTCAAGTTGTTATTGATGGCTGGTACTTAAGTGGGGTTATCCGAACTTCAGACTAATAAGAAAGTAAACAAAAGAGTGAAAAAGATGGTAAGGAAGAATGGAAGCAGGGAGAACAATCCGAGAGATCAAGAGGTGAGGTTAGTTCGTCCTCTACCAATGTTAGAACATGACGAAGATTCTAGTGGCAGGAGTGTGTATGTGAAGAAATCCGGATTGTCCTAAGCTCTCTCACATCCTCCCAATCTCTTTAATGATGGACCTGCTGTAAGCACCTGTCTGTATGCCACACATAGTGAACCATAACGGGTGCTCTAAGGGAAACTGAGAGATTAAGGCAGACCATCGTTTCAGGGATCGCCAACAATAATTCCATAAGAGTACCAGGCCGAGATATAGAGAAGTTTTGGCAACGCCTTACCACGTACGACCATACCCGGCGGAAAGCACGGCATCCCGTCCGCTCTGCCCTAGTTGAGCCACTGAGGGTCCGGTCAGTAATTGCGTCCGTGTCGACCAGCGAATCCCGGATGTTGTACCTTTTTTCCATATCATTGCCGTTTTGTCTTTTTTCTTTTCCAGAATGGTTCGAGCTCGGGCTGGAAGCGTGTTGTCGTAGCTCTCTATCTTTTTTTATTAGATTTGTCTCATCTTCTATGGTCTGCCCTGCTGAGCAGACTGAGTTGGCGTAGGAGCTTATCATTATTTTTTGGGGTCATTATTTCAAGGTGATACGCGCTTTAACACCCATTTCGATCAATATGCTCCTTTCCGTGGACATCTGCTGTCTTATGTCTTCTTTTTGATTTGGTTTGATTCCGTCCGTCTCGCTCCAGCATTAGAACATCGAAAGCCAAGATATGATGGGCAATCAGAGAAGAGATTATAGCGTCCTATCTGGGGGTTAATATTATATAAAGCGGAGCTTTAGTAGTACAGTGGTTCATATCCTCTGCCAATTGATATCAGCTATGCAAGCGTCCGGAATCTTCATCAGCAGTAAAGAAGTGCTACGACTGAAGCTCTAGGCCTAGTGGACTTTCCTGTATCTCAGGGACTTGACTCGCCGTTTCACAATTGAGCAAGCACGCTATTGGGCATATAGGAAAGGCCGAGGTCTGTGGTCAATGACGCAAAAAACCAGAGCTCTCAAGAACTACGGTTTGAAATGAGGTGAGGGCCGTGACGTGACTCTTTCAAGTCAGGATCATGATAATCATCAATTCCACCCAAAATATGGCGAGAGCGACATGAGAAGCTTGCAAGATAACTAGGTATCTATGTACGAACAGGAAATGATGTCTTCAAGATATTGGAACCCGTTGAGCACTTACCCAGGTAACGCAGGTCCGAGGAATGGAGTGCCTTGCATCCAGTTTGATTATCCGGCCTCGATGTAGAGTCCTGAGCAGGCAAGAAACATCCAGCGGAACGCCAAGAGTGAACGACAATCTTACTTGCGCCTGTTTACTACTAGTTAGAGGTACTTATGGCTGCTCGGTTATAAGATCATCACCGTCTAGAATATGAAAAAAGTTGGGGTCGTTAAACAGCAGTGGTCAAGATGACATAAAGGTTTTTTAGGCCTAGGTAAGTTAGAGTGGAAATTAAGGCTCGGTCGGCATCACCGGCAAGGCCCGGCTGGGTGGTGAGGCAATGCATGTCGGGTTCAGACAGAGATAGGCGGACCGCCGCCTTACGCATGATATTACCGTGATTTGGGGGGTAGTGTATCTCCGTTGAGGTCAACCACGCAGCGGCGAAGTACATATTTCGATTGTTCTCACGCCTTGGGTCATGCTGATCAATCAGAGTGCCCGCCTTATAACATACTGCGTCCGAAGTCGTGCACAGGCAACGCGCGCAAGATATCGACGAGTAACGGGCATCGAAGACGCAGCACATGATTTGGAGACGCAGCTGCCGATCGACGTGCTTGATGTCGTGCCAAGCCGGCGATCTGCTATTTCGAGGCACAGAAACCCTCGGCGAGGGCGTCCTGCAGCGCTTAGTTCCTTTACATTGCGACTGCCAAGCGAGTACTCGTCACTTCACAGCCGCCAGAGGGATATGTGCCGCATCCCGGAGGACCTGCTTGTGTCACAGGAGGATATGGAAGCTCACGGACTCGACCATTTGCAACTACCTATTGTAATGTTGTAAAAAGCTTGTTGACATTCCGGTAGGTAAGGCTGATGCAAAGGGCAGGAACGTTACTCTCGGTGTGGTCGACGGTTCAGATGTTGCTCTCTGCTTCAGTTTTTTTTGCGGTACGTAGCAGGTACTAACCTACTTAGGTACGTCACACCATCTTCTCAGGCGGTCAGACATTGTCAAGACCGGACAGGAAGCTTGAAAACACAAAAAATCTGAGCTGGCTGTGCCACTTGAGCCTGTGCATCAAAGCCCTTGCGCGATGGCAGCGCAAGGGACGTTGAACGGACTGAAGTCTGACTGGCAATGGAAAAAGCCGTTGCAGCATCCCACGTTCCCAGGGTGGAGTTCAACAATCGCTTCTAGCAGCCTGAAACCGTCGCTCTGGTGATGACAAAAAGGGGCCGTCAAGAAGAGATCGGAGTTTGGTGGGGCTGAGGATGGCGCTCGTGTGGTGTTTTGCCCCTGGCTGTCCGGGAAGGCGACGGCAGGGCCGAGAGCAAGCGAAGGCAAAGGAAACGACCGAAGAAAAAATGCATGGGTTAAATTTATGAGGTGCAACACTCAGGAATCTACAGTGCCATCACCATCGCCGAAACCAACTGCATCTCCGTGGAGGTGGTTGATATAGTTTAATCCTCGCCAACAATAGGAGGAACGAACCTTGTTGTTTGTCTTGTTGACATCACTTCTTCCGGCAGCTGAGGTAGGATGGATGTTGTCTTTGTTCTGGTAGTGAACGCTCAAATGACGGTTGCAGGGCATCAAAAAGTTCAAGAGGCCGCAGCCAACGGGCCCAGTGAAGGCACAGACCAACATACAGTACAGTGCGATTTTTGGCACTCATCGTCTCCTGCCGTAAGGCGCGCCATAAGCACCCGAACGGACATCACCAGAGCCAAGGCATCTCACGTTGACCTACCGACTGAGGAGCGGTTTGTTTTGAAACCAAATGGCCTTGATCGAAAGACAAGACACTTTAAAGTTGGCTCGGAACCAAGCCAAGCGTCTGTTTTCCGAAACCAGAAAGCAAACATGCCCTACCCACGCCGGATCTAGCCCCGTATGTCGCGATCACTTTTACCACTTGGGCACTCTCCCTTAAGCAAGCTGACGTGTTGGAAGGGCCTCTGGAAAGCTCTACCAATTGTGGAAGAAGTGACAAGGCTCCTGCGCGGGCGGCATAACAGCCTCGTGACAACTCTGGTGAGATCTGGCCTGACGATCCCCAAGAGCCCGGATACGTGTGTCCGCAAGAGTTGGTATCTGCGTCTTGTGGCGCGGCCGGGATCCGATTTATGTGGAGTTGTAATCAACTGGAAGTGCATGTGTGTGCTGGCACTCCAACCGTCTGGAACTGTCGCTGCGAGCGGCGTGTTGCTTCGGATAGGAGCCGCCTTTGCCAGGCGGAAGCGTCCAAAAAGAGGGGCTTCCAATCAGAAGGACAACAACAATAGATTACCACCGCCAGTCGTTCTCCTTCCCCCCAGGTCTTCAGGTTCCCCGGACTTCCTATCGTGCGGCAGTGCGCATTGCATTGGGTTGCTGCTCGAAGCTGCCCTATCGATTTTACTGTGTATGCCCATCTGCCTGACTGGCCATCGGCCGCCTACCATGTGTTGTTGCTGGGCAGCAGGCAGTGCATGAGCGCATGGACGTGGTTGGAGTGCGTTGCGGCGTTGGACGAGTGAAGCATCGCGCCCTTTGTCATCTTTGCCATGAGCGCAAATTCGCACTGTGCAAGGCCGGTTTTGGTTGGTCCAAAAGGCCTGTGGAGCGGGCGCGGTTTGAGCCATTCCCTGCTTGGCGCCCAGTCCCGCTCTTTCGCGGCTGCCACTTGCAGGCTTCGGACCCAGTCAGATTCGTGGCCTGGGATCGGCCCCCCAGTCGCTGGCTCGCTCGTGCTGACTGATTTCTCCTCCTTACCTGCCTCCTGCCAACCCTTTTCTCCCACTCTCACCCTGTGTGCCCCCAACCCACCGCGCTCTCTGCTTCCCTGAGGTTCTCCTCACGACAGCCAGGCCCAGCGAAAAACGGCTCTGTTTTTGAGCACAACACCGCAAAACTGCTTGCCGGAAACCACTCTGCCGCCACGCCAAATCCCCATTTTGGTCCGAAATCCCTGTGTGCGGCTGTTTCCTGTACGGCCTGTTCTTCAGCTCCGCTTTTGCCACCTCATCACGCGCCCACCGGCTGCCCAGCGCCTTTCTGCCTCTGCATATCTACCGCAGCGGATCGATCTTCTTCCTCCACACCATCTCGATTCCCGTCCTGCAACGGCCCTACAGAGGTCAGCACGTCGACTTCATCACTGGTAAGCATACCATATGTCTTCCTATTATTTTGTTCCTCGCAAAACAGCAGAGGAAAGCGCGTCCTTGCATCATAGCGCCTGAGGCCTGAGGAATTCCTCCGATTTCCGACAACCGATTTCTTGGCAAGGCAGAAGCCAACTGCTTTGGGTGCTCTCACCGACTCCATCGCCGAGCTGAGCATCCGTTTATTTTTCTTCCCGCTGCTCTGGCTCGTTTCTGATTTTAATCTTCGATTTTGCTCTTTTCTTCGATGGACAAGCGGCATACTGACAACTCGCTTGCAGTAATTTGACTCCGACAATCACAGCCATTCCTCATCACCGCCAAAATGTCGTCCATGGTGCGTTCGCAGGAGCCGCCTTTGGTACGTAGAAGCCCTGACATTTCGCTTGTTTGCGCATCATACGACCAGTTTGGTGTTCGCACAGCCCTGTTTGCCGAATCGTTTGCTATCTGGCAACGGTCGAGCGACGTGGGCAAGACGAAGCACCGAGGAGAGACAGGTCTCGCTAACTCGTCCGTCAACAGGACCTGCGTGTCGGCAACAAGTACCGCATCGGCCGCAAGATTGGCTCGGGCTCGTTTGGTGATATCTACCTCGGCACTAACATCATCTCGGGTGAAGAGATCGCCATCAAGCTCGAGAGTGTCAAGGCCAAGCACCCTCAGCTTGAGTATGAAGCCCGCGTCTACAAGTCTCTTGCTGGCGGTGTCGGCATTCCCTTTGTCCGCTGGTTCGGCACTGAGTGCGACTACAATGCCATGGTTCTCGACCTTCTCGGTCCCAGTCTTGAGGACCTTTTCAACTTCTGCAACCGCAAGTTCTCCCTGAAGACCGTCCTGCTGCTGGCTGACCAGCTCATCTCCCGTATCGAGTACATCCACGCCAAGTCCTTCATCCACCGCGACATCAAGCCCGACAACTTCCTGATGGGCATTGGCAAGCGTGGCAACCAGGTCAACGTCATCGACTTCGGTCTCGCCAAGAAGTACCGCGATCCCAAGACGCACTTCCATATCCCGTACAGGGAGAACAAGAACCTGACCGGCACGGCCCGTTATGCCTCTATCAACACCCACCTTGGTGTCGAGCAGTCCCGCCGTGATGATATGGAGTCGCTCGGCTACGTCATGCTTTACTTCTGCCGTGGCTCCCTCCCCTGGCAGGGTCTGAAGGCTGCCACCAAGAAGCAGAAGTATGACCGTATCATGGAGAAGAAGATGACCACTCCCACCGATGTGCTCTGCCGTGGCTTCCCTAATGAGTTTGCCATCTACCTCAACTACACCCGGTCGCTTCGCTTCGATGACAAGCCTGACTACAGCTACCTGCGCAAGATCTTCCGTGACTTGTTTGTTCGCGAGGGATTCCAATACGACTACGTCTTTGACTGGACCGTCTACAAGTACCAAAAGAACGCTCAAGCTATCGCTCAGGCGGCGAACAACGGGAACCAGAACGAGGATGAGCGCCAGAAGCAGCAGCAGCAGCAGCAGGCCGCCAAGCAAGCTCCGGCGGCCCTGCCTCGTGCAACGCGCAAGCAAATCACCGATACCCCGGATGCCTCCCGCGCCCTTCCCGGCAGCGACAGGATGTGAGTGACCACCAAGCCTACCCAACCCAAAAGCATTCCTAGCAGTAAGGAATCTTTAAATTTCCTTGGCGTGTGAAGTGCAATGCTTGACGCTAGCCGGAGGGTACAAATGCTGACAGAAGGCTGACCATCAGTTATCGGTAAATAGGCTGCGCTCGGCTGCTAGGGCTCAGGACCCTGGCATGGGATACAACAAGTACAGGCCCATGGAGTGAAGTACCGCTGAAGGACAATTGGTAATTAGCGCCTGCACTTTGGGGCTGCTTGAGCATGTTTCTCTGGTCGATCGGATGGAGCGTGGCCATGGCTACGGCTCGCCCTCTGGCGGGATCTCGATCTGGGGCATCTTCGTGGGCAAATACTTTGCTCCTGTTTGGGATCGAGATCAGTATCGGTTACGGATTCACGCCTTCAGCGCCGACATCATGGGATTATGTTTCTCCCTTCCCCCCACCTCACCACTCCTTTTCTTTTTTCTCGGCATCTCTTCGGTTAAGTGGTATTTTTATCTGGCTCGGGCGACGCTTGGTTTGGCAGTGCCGTCAGATTGGTGCATGGCCTCGCGGCTAGCATTGGTCTGACGTGCACTGCTTGGCCAACTTCCACCGAACGGCAGGTCGGCACTTCGAGGCTCCTCGGAGTGCCGATGGGGTTGCTGCTGTTTGGGCTAACGCCTTTCGGTGCCACGATGTTGAGAAACGGTCAAGGATGGGAAGGCAACCGAGTCGAAATTCCCTTAGTCGAGACAGTCATGATTTCGTCAGGATTCATCGGTGGGAGATTTGGCAACCGTGTGTCAATTTGCAGCATGCTTCTTCATCAGCCCCTCTAAGTATTCCTTAGTTCAGTGTCTCTTTCCGTTTCCGTTCCTTTTATTTTCCGATTCAGTATTTGGCTTCGGCTATCGCATCGGGAATCGCTTGTGGGGAGGTAAAGGGGACGATAGATTCTTGATCTATTTGTTTTTTTTTCAGACGTTAGAACACGGACTGACTGTGCGATCGTCCGAGACGGGTCGTGGACCACCACGATCTATCTGGCTGTCCGTAGCGCCGTCTCGAACTGATCTCACAGTCTTGGCTCCGTGGGCCGCCGTTTACATACAATGGTCATAAATTTATCTAAGCGGCGGGCAGAGCAGGACATGGGATGTCTAGGAAGAACTCAGGACCTCGGGCCCAAGGAGTGAATGGACTGGGCCAGACGTCCCGTTATCGGGTGGCCACAACGGTATTCTCTGTGGATGCGGTTGCTGGCTTCTCGGCTCTGCTTGGGAGCGTTGGGAGCTGGTGCCTGGAACTTGGCACCGTCTTCATAAAGCGCACTCTGGCTTTTGGGGGGAAGCCACCGCAGGGATTAATTACATACCAGATAGTTTCGGAATTGAGTTTCGTTTTTCATTCTCAGGTCTAAACCTTTGGTGCCGGGGTCAATTCTGTGTATGTGGGTTGCCTGTGCAAAGCGGGCTGGCTCAGCCTCATCACGGGATCTTTATATCGCATGCGTGATCTCCAGCGTGCCTCGCTGACTGGTGACTGGTCGACAATTTCTGCCGAATCTTGCCCCTGGGTGTCCTCCCATGGGTACATTTGCCGGATATGAACTGCCCAACTGCTCTGAGAAGCTGGTCTATAAAGCCCTTTGGGATGTCCAGTAAAGCATTTCTTGATTGCACTGCCTGATGGTCAACTTTCATCCCTACTCTGCTTCTAGTGCTGGTTCCTTAAGGCACTTGTAGAACCCCGCCCGCGCGCCAAGCTCAGCCGCTTACCTGCCGGCTCGCGTGGCGCGGCCTAACGACTGACCCGATATCTCCAACCGGCCCGGCGGTTGGCCTCGGATGAATTTCAGAAACAAGCTTTCCATCCCAAGTACCGAATGCGAAGCCGTCTAAACTTGCGGCCTGGCCTGGACTGGACGTAACGTCACGGTTCCATATCGATACACGGATAATAGGGACCGATTACCTACTTTGTGGGATGGAGGCCCGGACATCACGACAGCCGGTCCATTCCACCGATCTTGCTACCAACGACTACATCGAAGAAGCTGGCAGCAGTGCTGGGAAGAGCGCCAATATGGTTTCCCCGTCGGCTGTGCTCGACGTTCTTATCTTGACGTTTAACTGCGCCAAGAACCTCATTGAAGTGCCGGTGTTTGCGGCGCATTTGAAGAGGGCGCTCACACAAAATGCGACCGGGTTGCCCGATGTGGTTGTCATGTAGGTCTTCACACTCCGCTAATCAGACGGCTGTGATGATATGAGATGCTGATGTTTGCTGGATGGGTAGCTCCCTTCAAGAGGTGGCGCCCATCTCGTATGCGTTTGTTGGGTCCTGGTTTTTGGACAGGTATCTGGATCGGTTTGGCGAGGCACTGAACCTTGCTGCGGGGAGGGTCCTTAGTGAGGAGGGGGTTTCGGCGTCGGTACCGAGGTCTGGGATTGAAGATGGCGCAGATACCGCTGGCAGTGATCAAGAGCCGTTGATCGGTTCATCATCGTCATCAGCAGCATCGCCTTCTTCTCAGCTCAACAGGCGGCAGCATAGCACAAAGTCAGGTCCGTACACGCTTGTTCGCGCGAGAAACGTCGGGATGACGGCTATCATGCTGTACGTCCGTGAGCCGAAACGCGTTCGCAAGGTCGAGGGGGCAGAGTGTGGGTTCGGTATGGCGGAGATGGGGAATAAGGGGGCAGTTGGCCTGCGGGTAACGTGGGACAGCAGCCGCGGTAGTGAGACAGAAAGGGGAACGGGAAAGACGACTGAGCTCACGTTCGTTGCTGCTCACCTTGCTGCTATGGAGTGGAATGTCCATAAGAGAAACGCAGACTGGCGGGCGATTGTCGAAGGGCTGATTTTTGAAGATCCAAAGCATCTGCTCTCTTCTGCTACAGAAGGGCCATCACTGACAGAGGAAGAGGATCCCTCCTCAGACGCCGCCCCCCTTCTACCAGTCTCCAACCCCAACACTTCTCAACAACTCGCCAAGTTACATTCCCATACCATCTACAGCCCCACCTCTTACTTCTTCATCGCCGGCGACCTCAACTACCGCATCTCCTCTACCGCCCCAACACCCGACGACATCTTCCCCTCCGTTACGCCAAACCCTGAAGACCCTCATTACTCCCAATTCTTCGCCCGCGACCAACTCACACAAGAACGCCTAGCAGGCCGGACCCTGCACGGCCTGTCCGAAGCAGAAGTCAAGTTCCCTCCGACATACAAAGTCGTCGTCACCAACCCTGACTCTCCACAAGGAGGGGAGGAAGAAGGAGTTACCTGGCGGTTTGCCAGACATCGCTGGCCGGCGTGGTGTGACCGCGTTTTGTGGCTGGATGTCCCGCCTTGGGTGAACTCCTCCTCCCGTGACAAAAAGAAGATTGTCACAAAAGCGTACGACGCGCTCCCAGTCGTCAGGACAAGCGATCACCGCGCTGTCTTCTGGCGCGGGGAGGTGCCGCTTTTGTCGACAGAGGAGTTGGCTCCTCCTCCTCCTCCTTCGTCGATAGCGTCAACCTCCTCAGCGGCTGAGGGGTTGAGAAGCAGGGGTATTGGGCATCATGAACAGCACCGGGAATGGGAAGATGATCCCCGGGTGAAATTACCATTTACTGTAGACGTGCATGCTTGGGAACGTCGGGCAGCGGCTAGGCAGCGGGAGTTGGTTGTTGGATTGACGGCGCTTTTGTGGAGTACACGCGAGGGAGCTTTGGTTTTATCTACGATGGTTGCTTTGGGGCTTGGGGGGTGGTGGTTGTTTTGGGGTTGATTGGGTTGCTGTTTACCGTTGTCATGAGAGTGAGAGTTGTGAATTCGGAGCTTGTGCTTGGTTTGGTTTGATTTGATTCATCAGATGATTGGGCTTTGCTTTGACTTGCCTCTAGAAGAGTATATGTCGATATTGAAAGTAAAACGTATATTGCAGGATGTTGAATTTGGTTCTAAACTATGCCAGATTCACTCATTCCGACAACATGGGAGCCATTTCCTGAATCAGGCTTGAGGCTTTTGCTTCCACTCACCCGAGTTTCAGTCGCATATCAAGGGGTTATTCCAACAATTCTCATGTGGCTGTTCCATGTGACTGTTCCTGCTTCAAGTCATGAGGTTTCACGCCTCGGCTCGAGCCCAAGACAACAACCCCTGCAAGTCATGAAGTCAGGTTGGTCTGAGCGAAAATGTGACAGAGAAACGGAGCATCAACCTTGCTGTTTTAACACTTTGCATTTTATTCTATCCACTTCACCTCTGTAGGCGAATAAACCATGACAATAAAAGCTTGGAAACACACACCTCCCTCCCGCCGCCGCCCATGCCCATATCACAAAACGCCACCCAGGTAGTATAACAATAACCAACCCATTGACCCATCTCAAAACATTATCACTGCGGGGTTTTGACAACCATTAAACTTGGTTGTGTCATCATTGGCCAGTAACACATACCTATCCATCCATGTACACCTTTCCCATTAACTCCGCCAAACAAACTCCAGGGTATTCGAACACACGAAAATAAAAATAAAAAAAAAATAATCAGCAAAAGCAGGAATCCAGACGAAGGATAAGAATTTCAAACGTAAACGTCACTCAAACCCCTCAAAAGTCCTTGAAAAACTCGTCATACTTCTCCCGCATCTCCTCGGTATACTCCTCCTTGATGGCGTCTTCCTCGGGATAGATGTCATAACACCTTGCATCCCCGGGATACCGCACGGGAGGGATGATGGGGGCCCTCACGCGGCGGTGGTACAGGGCGTCCCAGTCGACGTTGTGGTCTGCAAAGAAGGGGTGAGCTTTGACGCGGGCGGCGCCGCCGCTAACGTTGCCGAGACGCCGGGAGCGGTCGACGTTGCAGAGCTGGGTGATGATGTCCTGCGCAGAGACAGAGAGGGGAGGGGATTGAGGGAGGACTGTTGTGATAGGTTTTTCGATGATTCTATTCGCAGAACGTTAGCACCCAAGTAAATGAAAGGGTTTTTTTTTCTGAAGGAAACGTACTGTTTGTAAATCTCTAGAGGATTTTGATGCCAGAACGGAGGATATCCGGTCAAAAACTCAAAGATCAGGATGCCCAATGCCCACCAGTCAACAGCCGTCGTATGGCCCTTATTCTGAATCACCTCGGGCGCTAGGTACTCCGGCGTGCCACATAACGTATAGGTCTCAGTCAACTCGCCGTTGTTGGCGCCACTGCTCTCATTCGTTAACCTCTTGGCAAACCCGAAATCAACCAACTTGATATGCCCCTGCTCGTCCAGCAGCAAGTTCTCCGGCTTCAGATCCCGGAAGGCAACGCCACCGCACTGTTCGTGCAAGAACTCCAGGACGAGAACAATCTCAGCGGCATAAAACCGGGCCGTGTCCTCATCAAAACGGCGGAAGCGGCGCAGATACGTGAACAGCTCGCCGCCAGGGACATAGGTCAGAAGCAGGTAGAGGGTCGTCGCGTCGGAAAAGGAGGCGACGAGGTCGGCTACAAAGGGATGGCCGCGCACATCAGCCAGAATCTGGCGCTCGGAACGCACGTGGTCGATCTGCTTGAGACGGATCACATCGGTCTTGCGCAGGATCTTGAGGGCGTAGACCTTGCTGCGGTCGGCCTCGCTGCCGTGGGACGGGCGTACAAGACACACCCGGGCAAAAGTGCCTGTAAGAAAAAAAAAAACAACCAACATGACACATCAGCGGTTTGACGGGTTTGAAACGGCAATGATGAGAAGGGCTTGTATGGAGCAGAAGCAAACAAGGGATTGCATACCCGTCCCCAGGGTGCGCACGCGCACAAAGTCATGGGCAGTGAGCTTCCTCGATGGATCAAAGGGCTCCTCATTGGCGTCTTTTTGTGGGGGCTGCCCTTGTTGCTGCTGCTGCTGCTGCTGTTGTTGCTGCTGCTGCTGGGCTGCCATGAGTGCTTTGGCTTGTAACGGGTGTAACCCGCCACCCGGGGGAAGAGGCTGTGCCTGGATTACTGTCGCCATTGAGCCGGTGAGAGGGTGTTAAACAGGGTGTACGTATTATTATGGGAAGTAGATAAATATGGGGGGAGTAGGAGGGCAGACGATAAATTGGTGAAGTTGAATGGATAACTGATAAATATTAATAGATGCTGAGATGCGTGTCCTACGGATGCCGCTGGTCCCAAGGATCCTGCGGCTGCAGCGTGTGTTGTAACTGCACGTGGCCTCTGGGTCTGGGGGTCTGGGATGGCAGCTTGTGGAGGCGGATGTTGCAGGCAGGCATAAGATTGCTCATAGGTTACAGGAGTGTTCAGGGTCTGGGTGGTATGAGATCAAAAACAAAAAGAGATGGGATCACGGGTAGTTTTCTGGAAATGAGAGGATGGAAGGCAGGGAGTCTTAAAGCTTGTCCCGCGATAGGGAAGGAAGAGAGCTTGGTGACAGATCTGGGGATCTGGAACTTGGAAGATACTCGAGATTTGGGGAACGGGGCAGATCTGGTACAGAAAAGGCTCGGGAATCTGCTGGGAATTGGAATGCTTTTTTGAGACTGGGAATTGGGATCGGGTCTGGGGCTCCGGCAATGGCGACGGATACTTACCTCTTATGAACGGACGACAACGGATGGACGGGTCGGAAACGAGCGGATTCTGTACTCGTCGAGCACCGTTGAGTCGGCGGATAGCGGGGTGCAAGTGGGGAGGGGAGAATGGGGACAATGACAATAGACTCGATAGGAGTGGTTGGAGAGAGAGAAGGCAGCCAGTCACAACTCACAAGGGGGAAGGGAGGGGGGCAGTGGGGTTTACTGTGGAAAGGGGGGATTACTGGGGCAGGGATCCAATCTGAGGAGCCGATCAGATGCAGCGCGTCCAGCGGCTCCAGGGACAGGTGAAAGGCGAAAGAAAGAGGAGCCAAATAAGTTCAAGTCCAGATTTCAGGTCCGAGCATTGGACGTCCTGTTCAGTTCAGGTCTAAATGGAGGGGCTGGCATGGGCAAGCTGACGGAATTGGAAACGGCCGGCCGGTTACGCTGGCACGTAGCTGAACGTAGCTGTGCTAAAAAGCGGCTGCAGAATGCCACGTCCTGAAATATTACCTGCCGTTAAGCGCGCCTACTCCCATTTACACCAGCCTGGAAAATGTTCCAGACTACTTGGGTTGTTTGGTAGTGTCAAATTGACGGGGCTCCGGATTAAATCGAGATGAGAGGTCGATGCTGAGGCTCTTTAATGGTTAGACTTCATGCTTGAGCACCGCTCTCATCCTTTCTTTAGGTTGGCTACCAATCAGCATGCCACCACCGTAAGCTGTGCCAACCTGGCATCCTGATATGACAGCACCATGCCCGGGCGGGGGTCTGCACCGAGGACCTTGGCACCGTTTCGGCTTTTGGATGTGCGTAGAAAACCACAGAAGGCTGTCGAGAAAAACCGCGCTGAGGACTGCATATCCTGTCACAGGATGCCACTCCAGAAGAAACAGAAGAGCAGAGGCTTGGTGGAGTGAGCCGTGATGTGAGAACCGGAAAAACTACTGTGTGATACCAACGGTCGGAAGAAGCCGAAACGAGCAAACAGAGAGGCATGTAAGCGTGGAAAGATTGGCATTTCAGTGAGGAGCACGCAGACCTCTTAAAGAACCATAACGGACAGCAGATTGGAGCTAAACAACCTCTTGGTAGGGCAGCACGGCACGTGCTTGTAAGAACATGTGATGGCATCTTGACTCTTTGACTGTTGCTGGTAAACGAATATCCGTCGACGATGACGGCAGCCCAGAAATCAGAGGCCCTAAAAGATGGAGAGCTTTCCGCAGCGGCGGCGCTGGGCGTTGATTTGCAGGGGTCCTTCCCAGACTGGAAACAGCCCCATATTTGCGGGGCCGCACTGATCGCACAGCAGCCCGCACCCGCAGTTCAGGCGCCCAGGCCCCAGGGTTGTGGTTCTCACAATCACCGTCCAACCACTGGTCACTGTCGGCCGCGAGCACAGTGGGCTGTGGGCGCAGCCCTAGCGGGGAGCTCGCGGCAGCCAAGCAGCCTCGTGAGACGGTGCCGGTGGGACCTGGTTCAGCGGGAGGACGTTGATGCTTGATCCACCGCCTGCCTGGACCTGGGTCCGCATCACCGCCCACGTCGTGTTGTCGTCCTCCCTAAACGCGAGCTGCGCGCCTCTCCGAGCTCTGCCGACGCCAGGCTGAAGCTTGACGGTTGAGCTGGGGACGCCCAATCCGCTACCGGGCCAACAAAGTCCGGATTTTCGCATTTTCGCATTCTCGACCCCATCTTGAAGACACGAACCCGTGTGCCTTGACGACAACTCACAATCCCTTGACCTTCGAGCCTCCATCCCGTTTCTACCACATCCATATTCCTTTCTTCCAACTCCCCCGACCCTGCCTCTCTAGGAAGCCCACGATAGCCTGTCCGTCTGTACGCTGCCCGGCAGCTCCACCACCATGCTGGGCAGCCTCTCGAGCCTTGTCCAAAAGGCTCAGCAGCTGCTGGACCCCTCGCAGGGCCTGGGCTTCACTTCACTCTCCTCCGACGACAGGAACCCCTCCAAGGCCTACCTCTTCCAGAGCCAATTCCGTCTGCCCTCGTCCCAACACCCACTCTACGAGATCCCCGCCGAGCTCACAATCCCTCCCTCTGGCATCACCCAGTCCGACCGTGACGCCAACCGTGGCTTCCAGTACGCCGGTCGCCTGCACCTCTCCGAGTCCTACCTCTGCTTCAGCACGACCCCTTCGAGTTTTCTTCAGTCAGCTAGCAGCTCCTCTTCCCTCCTCTTTACCGGCCAGACACACGGTGCCGGCCCCAGCGGTAACGGGTTCACGTTCCCCCTCTGTGCGATCCGCCGAGTCGAGCGTCTACATAGCCAGAACTTCCAATTCGCCCTCGCCATCACCACGTGGAACGGCATCAGCCAGGATGCTGCGAAGGACAAGGACAGGAAAGACTTGCGCGAGCAGCGCATTACCATCCAGCTGGCCGGTAGCCGCCAGGCCTGCGAGCGCTTCTGCGACGGTCTCAAGAAGGGCCTGCGCGCCAACGTCGTCCACGTCGCCCGTATGAAGCGAGTTGTTGCCGACTGCTACTCCGAGTACCTCCTTCGTCCCGACGATGCGAAGAACGCCACGCCCCCGGATGCCGGTTTGGGTATGATCTTCAAGTACCCAGGAGACCCGAAGAAGCTGCGTGACCGTGCAAAGATGCGTCTTTGGGCCGAATATCTGCGCGACAATGGCCGAAACATGACCTTGATCCGCCAGCCTACCTTCCACAAGCTCATCCGCGTTGGTCTGCCCAACCGGCTGCGTGGTGAGATCTGGGAGCTGACCTCTGGCTCGCTCTACCTGCGTCTGGAGAACCCGACGCTTTACCAAGACACCCTCGCCAAGTTCCAGGGCAAAGAGTCCTTGGCTATTGACGAGATCGAAAAGGACCTGAACCGCAGCTTGCCTGAGTATCCGGGCTTCCAGAGCGAAGAGGGTATCGGCCGTCTGCGCCGGGTCCTGACCGCCTACAGCTGGCTGAATGCCGACGTTGGCTATTGTCAGGCCATGAATATCGTCGTTGCCGCTTTGCTTATTTACATGTCCGAGACACAGGCCTTCTTCCTGCTGTCTGCTTTATGTGACCGACTCGTTCCGGGATACTACTCTACTACCATGTATGGCACTCTGCTCGACCAGAAGGTCTTCGAGTGCCTGGTCGAGCGCACCATGCCCATTCTGTGGGAACATCTCGTCAAGAGTGATGTTCAGCTGTCTGTCGTCTCGCTTCCTTGGTTTCTGTCGCTCTACATCAACTCCATGCCTCTAGTCTTCGCCTTCCGTGTTCTCGATGTCTTCTTCGTCGAGGGTCCGAAGGTTCTCTTTCAGGTCGGCCTGGCTATCCTCCGTATCAACGGCGAGGATCTTCTAGATGCGACCGACGACGGTGCCTTCATCTCTGTCCTGAAGTCCTACTTCGCGAGCCTGGACGAGTCGGCTCATCCAAAGTCGGAGAACCCGAAGCTCCGGGCTGTCACAAAGTTCCAGGAGCTCATGGTCGTCGCCTTCAAGGAGTTCTCAGGCATCACCCACAGCACCATCACCGAGCTGCGCCAGAAGAACAAGGACGCCGTTCTCAGCAACATCGAGAGCTTCGCCAAGCGCACAGCCATCCGGAACCTGGGCCCGGATAGCAAACTGCTCACTAACGATGAGCTGAGCTCGCTCTATGACCGCTTTTACGGTGTGCTCTACGAGCGTCAGCAGCGCGACCAGATGATCAAGCAAGAACAGGCCCGCCGCGCAAAGGCTGCGGGCCGCAACTCGCTCCTTGCACAACTTGCCAGCGAAGGCGACCATGGCGTCGAAAGGGGTCGCATCGGGCTCGGCCCGAGCACGAGCTTGATGGATTACGATGCCTTCCGCGAGTTCCTGGCGGGCATCTGCAAGTGGGCCATCTCGGATTCACCCAGCACATCGCGTCGGGATTTGTATGGTTTGCAAGATAGGGGTTATGGCAGCGCCAGAAAAGCCGACGCTCTTCTCTCTCCGTGGGGCGCTGGACCCGAGCCGGCTGACCACGAGTTTATGCGGCGTCTGTTCCGGAAGTGGGATGTTGACGGCTCCGGCAGCCTGACGCTGCAGAATGTTGTCTCGGGTATGGCCCGCATCAAGAGCAAGCGGGATATCATGGGGAATATCAACTACTTCTTTGAGCTGCATGACGACGATGGCGATGGCAAGGTCGACCGCGAAGGTATCCTGCGCATGTCGGAGGCCCTGCTGTTCCTATCTCGTCGCGGTCTGGAGGGGACGTTGTCTCCCTCGAACTCGTCACTCAATCTGAGCGATGGCGTGAACGACGTGCCGGGACAGTCGGTCAGCGAGCGCTTCCTCGGGAGTGTGAGTGCCTTCATCAGGCGGTGCTTTGAGTACGCCGATCCGGACCATCCCAAGAACCAGGAGAGCGCGGTGCAACAAGCGCAAGAAAAATTTGAGTCGACCACACTCAAAGACGAATCCGACGATGAGCTGGCCGACCCGGACAAGTTCGCCATCGGCGACGACGGCTCCGAGGACGAAGACGACCTCCTAACCATGAACTCCCCCCAGGCCAGCCCCAAACAATTCGCCCAACGACCCCCGTCTACCTTCAATCCCCCCGCTATTCAACTTAACCCATCTTCCAACGACGACCCCGAAGCCCGCCGCCGCGTCTCCAGAGCGGCATCCGAGAAAGCCAACATCGCCCTCGACCCCGCCAATCCCCTCCACATCACTCTACCCACTTTCCGCATGGTCGTCCTCGCCGACGAGCTCCTCGAGCAATTCTTCGAGTCTTCCTTCCCAACCTCCTTCCACATCGTCGAGGGTCTTTCCGCAGCCGCAACCCAGACTCAGGCCAGTGGCTCAGGCCTGACCACCTTCGCCGGTCTTGGCTTTGGCTCCCGGCCTAGCGGGGCCCCCACTCCCGTCGGCATCACTGGCGCCGGTCCCGCTGCCGCCACTGCCGCTGCCGCTGCCGCTGCTGCAGGCCGTGGCCTGCGTGGTGTGCTAGATAACATCGTCACCGACGGGATGCGCGTCGCGGCGGAGGTGAAGCGCCGCATGGAAGAGGCGCAGAAAGAGCTGGAGAGGAATGCCCTTGCTTCGGGACAGCCTTTGCCTAATAGGAAGGCGGGAGATGAGGATGAGGACGAGGAGGATGACGGGCGATATGGTGGGCCGAGTTCGAGTAGGCTCGCCCCATATAAGGGGGATGCGGAAAGGAGGAGTGTGAGGAGTGAGGATAGGGATTTGTTGACCGGGGCGGATGCGGAAGCAGGAGGGGAGGGGATGCCAGGTTTGGGAGTTGGCACTGCGACTGGCGTTGGGGAGGGAGGTATAGGTGCGTCGCAGGCGGGGACGGGGAAAGTTGTGGGTGTTGAGTTTGAAGGGTAGAGGGAAGGGATATATCTCTTTTTCCCCGTCCCTCTTCCTAGCTTTGGTTCTGTAGTTTGGGAGATTGTGTTGGCTGTGTGTGTGTTGTTGTGTTTATGGTGTGGGCGTGGTCTTTTTGATTTTTTTTTTTTCCCCCTCTAGCAGCACTGGTTCATCACTCGGTTCGGTTTTGGTCTGGTTCTTAATGGTCGGCTTGCTAGGTTAGGTTTCATCATCACCATTGTGTCAATTTTGGGTGTCGAATTGCATTGGTGGTTTGCTATTACTGCCACTTCATAGTTAAGCTCCGTTACAGCCTCGTGCTTGTATTCGGTTTTGTCTGAGTAAAGCTGAGGCTCTCCGTGTAGATGAACGGCATATACAGTCAAGTGAGCGATATGGAGACGGCACGGTTGTACTGGGAGACGGGGAAGGGCATTTTACCATTCGTGTTTGCACCCCATCTGGAGGTTGCAGAGGTGATCTTGTACTCGATATGAAGCTGTGTTTTTGAGCATGGTTCCGTATCCAAGATTTCCTTTTAGATGCCTTTTATTTCTTGAAGTCTCACTGCGTAGTCAAGTTGTTCAGTCATGGCCATCTTATCTGTGCTCTTCATATGCTTCATGTTTAATTCAGCTGTACTTCATAAACTTGGATTGTGCAGCACGCCAGTACGTACGACCATACCCAGTGGAAAGCACGGCATCCCGTCCGCTCTGCCCTAGTTAAGCCACTGAGGGCCCGGTTAGTAGTTGGGTCGGTGACGACCAGCGAATCCCGGGTGTTGTACGTTCTTTTTTTTTCTCTTTTTGGCCTTCCTACCTTGAGTAGGTTTGCTTAACTGTAAATACACTGTGTTCCTGTCTTCACTGGCTCCGTTTGCTATTAGGACTATCTGTTGAAGAGCTTCACGCAACCTAAGCTCACAGGATGACGCATCAGCATGCGAGTGGGAAGTCTCACTCCGATTACGCTTCCATGCTTCCGTTCCATTGAACTCTTCTCTCTCTATTGAGTTGCTCGAAAACACACTTTCTGTTTCTCCCAGGAACTAACTCGACACTCCGATAATACAAATGAAGAGCCCCTGAAAATGCAAGACAATGAGATATCCTCTCCCGACCTAATGAATAGAAGAACCATCCCGAAAACCCTGAGCCCCTGACCAACCTAAAACACGAACAGAATAACAAGCGAAAGAAATTAACTCCCAGCTTAGGCCTTATACAACAAATCCAAAAACCCCCTCGCCATCTCCACAACAACGCTCTTATTCGGCAAGCTGCCCGCAACTCCGTACAGCGCCGCCGTATCGCCCATCTTATTATCCTTCCCCTCTTTCCTCCTCTGTTCGACCTTCTCCCTCTCCTCCTTACAAACGGCCTCCAGATCGTCCGCCAACCTCGACCACACCTTCGCCACGGGCTTCGTCACGGCGACGTGCATCGCGGCCGGGTTCTGCAGCGCATTCAGATGCCATCCGCGCGCGCCCATCCCGTCGGCGATGTCGTAGATGTTGATGTCAGGCTGTCTCGCGCGAACGGCGACGACTGACACGAGGGGTTCGCCCAGGACTTCCAGCTCGGCGGCGAGGATGGGGGATGTCCGGATGCGGTGCAGGAGCTGCTTAGTGGCGCCGACAATCTCGCGGCAGGCGGCGAGATACCCCTCCTCGCCGACGGACATGAGAGATGCCCAGCACGCAGCGATGAGTGCGCCGGGCCGGGAGCCAGCCATGCCTGGCGAGGCATAGACGCCGCCGGACCAGGAGGGGTCGACGAAGTATTGGTAGGCGCGAAGTTCTTGGTTGCGGTAGAGGACTGTGGAGTTGCCCTTGGGCGCGAAGCCGTATTTGTGGGTGTCGCAGGAGATGGAGGTGACGCCGGGCAGGCGGAAGTCGAATGGGGCCGAGGGGAAGCCGGCTTTGGAGAGGAAGGGCACGAGGAAGGAGCCGAGACAGCAGTCAACGTGGAGGGGGATGCGCTTGCGAAGGGCGAGGTTAGAGAGGGAAGTCAGGTCGTCGATGATGCCGTGGGGGAAGTTCGGGGCTGAGCCAACGAGCAGGATGGTATTACGGTTGATGAGACGGGCCACGCGCTTAATGTCGACTTGGTAGCTTGGCGCGGGGCACTCGACGACGTGTATCTTGATCTTGAAGTACTCTCCGGCCTTGCGGAAGGCGGTGTGGGCCGTTTCGGGGAGGATCATTTCGGGCTCGGTGATGCCACGCTCGTGGTAGGCCTTTTGCCGTGCGCTGAGACACGCCATTAGGATGCTCTCTGTGCCGCCGCTCGTCGTGACGCCTGCCGCGCCGGGAGGGGCGTTGAACAGGCTCAGCACCATGGCAACGACCTCGGCTTCCATCTTGCGCACGCCGGGGAAGACGTCCGGGTGGATGGGGTTCGCCACGGTGAACTTGCCGTAGGCCTCGGTCTGCAGACGCAGGAGGTCATCCTCGCCGTGGTAGACTGCGCCCGAGACATACCCGTCCTCCCAGCGGGTATGATCCATGTTCGCCAGCGCGTCAAGCTCTTTGCGCACAGCTTCCTGCGTCCAGCCCTCCTTGGGCAGGGCCAGATAGCGAGTAGCGTCGGCGGGCACCATCTTGGACTCCAGCTTGCGCAGGGCGCCGTCAACCTCCTTCTTGACCTTGGCACGCACGCCAGGCAGGCGCAGGAAGTAGCCGTAGAGCACGCGGCGGGTGTCTCCATAGACTTCTCGCAGCGTGCCCAGCAGGCCGCGGCCCTTGAGCTTCCAGAGCGCACGGCGCGTCCAGCGCAGAAGGAAGTAGAAGAAGATGATGTTGCGCAGACTGAGAGAGGGTCAGCTCAGGGGGTTGTTTACCTTACTTGGACTGAGGGACGGAGGGACTCTTACAGATCCAAGCTCACGAAGGACAACGGGCTGGCTGCCCTCGCCTTAGTCTTTTGCTGAACATTTTGCAGGCCCTCCCGGATTCTCGCTGAGTGAGCTGCGGGTAAAGCGGGTCTCTTGGGCATATTGAGCCGTCAGGGACTCTGGCAGCGGTGATATATCAACCGTGATGTTGTCGAGACGTAATCCAATCAACAAACTAAACCACTCTTCTCGAGACAGGGAAAAGAAGAAAAAAAAAGGAGCCGAAGCTCGGAAAGCGCGGACTAAATCACAAAAGAGTGACCGTCCAGTCCGAGAGGAGCCTGCAAAACCAATGATGAAATAGCTCCCAGGATCCACTGTCCACTGAGCACAGGCGACAGGCGAGAGGTGAGGTGAGTGGCTTGCTGGGCCCCACTGTTCACTGTCTCGGGCTAGCGCGCCCCGGGGTTTTTGCATGTGCCCGATGCTGTCCCCTCAGCGTCCCCCCACTGACGTGACGGCTCCCCGCGGCGCCCGTTTTTGTCTTTCAGAGCCGCTGGCGAGTCTGAGCCCCGCCGAGACGCGGTCCGTTGCCGTTATCCGAGAACTTCACATGGCACATGCAGCCTGAAGCTTTGGAACACGCCATCGGGTATCATTATGAGATCTCGGTGGCCGTAATATCGAGTTGTCATTTGTCATCTTTCATCTTGCCATAGCCCTATCAGGTGCTCTGCTCGACCTTCGAGATCCAACCACCTTTCATCAGGCACTTTTTTTTTCTGCTCCAGGTGTTCTCGAGTCTCAAGGACCACTCTTTAACGATTTGGCTACCGCAGCCAGAGGCACATACAGTAGACCGGTGCCAATGCAACACCACGTCACACATTACCCAACGCTTTCTCACTCATCAAGCCTGCAGCTACAACGGTGCCCCTCTGTCTCGACGGCGGGCACGCGAGGTGTCTCGTGGCCCGCACGGAGGCAGCGCAGCCCATGTCGGAGCAGCTAGCAAATCAGGCATTGCCCGTTCCCCGATGTGACGTCGCCCGTGCCGGATTGGGAGAATTCGCAGTTTGGCCGGGTAATGTCTTAGGCCAGTTTGTGTAGAGGGCAGAGAGTAACCTTCTAAAGTGGGAGAGACATCGTGTTAAAGCGTTATGGCTGCCGGAAATAGCCTTAGAGGTTGTTCAGGAAGGACATATGCGATCATGATAACAAGGCGCGAGAGCGGCGACTAAGTGCTCAACAGTTGTTGATGCATCTCACAATCGAGGATGGAAGATATATCGCCTCATGTTTACAAGCACTCGTTCCCCGAGGCAAGCAATCCATAACAGGTGCGGATGCAACCCAACTGCATGCCCAACCTCCCGTCCAACCCACAGATCACCCCCTCACTGCTTCGCTTCTCCCCTTCAAGCCGGAGTCCGCGGCCTTGGTACAGAACACTCATCCAGATGACCGCGGAAGCGCTCGGCCCTGGCAGATGAGGAAAAAAAAATTAAAAAAGAAAAAAAATAAACCAGTAATTATCTTGCCATTTATTACCTGGTAGGTCGGTGGTACTTTAGGTATATCGATTCAACAACTAACGCCTTTCCTTCCTTACATTGCCTTTGATGAAAAAGATACCACACATGCCTGATAACTCAGATCCCCAACCCCAGCCAGGTGTCCAAACTGATGAGTCTAGATGGTAAGAAAAGGTAGAAGTAACCATCGACCAGATCAGCCGAACCCTTCATGATCAAGGATCGACCCCGTCATCGCATCAACCCACACCGTATAATCCATCATCTATCAGTCATCTACAGAGACAAGTAATCCCTATCTCTGCCAAGAGGAATGAGGCAAGAAGACGTCTCTCACACCCCAAATGCCTGCTTCCACATGGAGATATACGGCTGCGCCGTTTGCTCGCATGTCTGCGGGCCACTTTCGCCTTTGCACGGGCCGAACCGCACAACAAGCTCACCCTCGCGCCACTCCTCCAGCCCTGGAGCGCGCTCTGCATACGAGCCCATCACGCGCTGGTCGACGATAGCCATGCGAGCGAGAATGGTCGGGTGCCATTGGACGATGTGTTCCTGGGCGTTTGTTAGCACTGTCGAAGTCATGAGACACGAGGAACTGGACATACTAAAGCATGGGTCTCCGCCTTCTGGAAGTTATACGTCCGATAGATCGGATCAAACCACGTATCCAGGAAAAATCTCGCCCAGTCACCATTCCTAACGACAATACTCCCCGGCGAGAGTGTCTCATTATCCTGCGTCACCACAAGATCCACATCCTGCGCGCGCAGATGGCTAAACGTTTTGATGATGCTGTCGGGCGGCACGACCGGGTGATCCTTCTTCATCAGCGCGTCCAGCTTGCCTGACGCCAGGATGTGCTCGTCCAGTTTGAGCTTCGGGTTCATGATCAGCGCCGTCTGGTCCAGGTACCACACGAACCGACAGTTAGGGAAGGTGGTGAGCGCGTGCCTGATTGCCGGGACGAGCGCCCAGCTGCTGGGCGCTGAGCCCAGGTCGTAGTCTGTGACGCTGGGGAAGAAGGTTTTGTAGCCTGTTTGAGGTTAGCCATGTCCTGCTCCCGATCGTTCTGTGAGAAGGGAGAACCTACCATGCATCTCAGCATACCTCTCCCGATTCTCCTTCACCATCTCCAAATACCCCTTACTAAACTTCCTATCATCCAACACCGTCACTAACACCACTGGCGGGTGGCCCGTTGGCGCGAGCTTGGGGATTCTTTTCCCGCTACTACTTCTGCTGCTCCCTGACCCCCCTGATCCAGAAAGTAGGTAGAACAGTGTTATAAGGAAGAGTACCCCCGCCAGGACCATCGCCCGCGGTCGGACTCGTCGCAGCCGGCCCGGGATAAATTGTAGGATTCCGCCCCGCGACGAGCGCGGCCGGTACGGCGGCGGGTTGGAGGATTTGCGTGGAGGGAGGGCGAAGTGCATTTTGGCGTGGGTATTTGTGCGGTGTGTAGAGAGATAAAGATAAACGGCAGTCTGTCGTTCGCAGGCTCTGGAAGCCGATGTCGTGGGCAGGCAGTTTAATCGCTTCGAGTTGTCGTCAGACGGCTCGGTTCGTGAGGCCTGTCTTTCAAAGGCCCGGACTCCAAACTTAGCTGGCTGTGGGAGCCAGCTGCGCTTTCTCAATCAATCCGTCCAGCGACGGGTCGCGGACTCTTACCCTCGGAAAGTCACAAATCCCCTAAGTCGCAAAACTAAGTCTTCGTCGTCGTTGTGGTCGTCGTGCTTACAGCCATACGTCGCATCAGTCAGTTGTCTCGCGTTCCGTCTGTATTCCTTTTCGTCGTTGTTGTCACGGCCGTGATATCAAAGCTCGGCTCCGATCGTCCCCACCAGCCAGTTTCGTGATTCCCTCTATATCAAAGTCCCCCTGCTACTCGCCGCCGTCCAATATGTCACCGACCACGAATCGAATTTCTGCTGTTGTCGTCGAGGTTGCTGTTGTTGCTGCCTGTCGGAAGGCATCACGAAGCCCCAAACTATTTATCTTCCTTCCTCCTATTTGCAGTTCTGCGCTGCGCTGCGTGGCCGGGTCGGCTCGCGTCCAGATGGGATTCGTCGTCGTTTGGTGGGTGAATAGAGAGACCCAGCAAGGGGATGTGGACAAGGCCAGTTTGCGGCAGCTGGCTGGTGGATGATGAATGGCGCTGGCGACATGCGACACGCTGCGATAAGCCCCTGGATTCTGGGCTTATCGGGTTGTTGAGACCCTAACCCTGATAACGGTGGGGCTTGGCATTTAGGGTCCATCAATCAGCCCGATAGTTAGGGGTTAGGGTTGAGCACGGCGCTATTGTGAGTGATGCCCCTTTTTGCTGTTACTTACCACTAACTACCGGGAAGTTGTCATTCAGTGATAATCACATCTTGTAGATGTAAACACAGGCTGCGTGACTTCTTTTCTGCTCATTTTTACTAAGCTTCAGTGAGGATTAAGTGCTTCGAAACAAAGACCTTGAAGTTATCCGCGGACTTCCGATGCGGCTTCAGAAGCCGAACATTACGTTAGTAGGACCCATGGACAACAGGCGAGTTTGCTAAGTATTTTAAGTCCAATAAATTTTATAAATTGCTGAAGAGCGCCGATTTTGTATTCTATAAGCTCTGGTTCTAGTATCCAAAATTCCTCGTTAAGTCTGGATGAGGCCCCTGGGTCGGAACTGGGCATTATCTTGAACTACATATGAGGAGACCGAGATTGTTTGAGTTGCATAAGTGATTAACAATGTACTAAGCCCAGTAAAGCCGTTCCGAAATTTCGAGTCTATGCCAATACTTTGGACCCCGATCTATAGGTAAGGAACAGGCCCATGTATGACCCCTTCTCAATCATATTTAACATCCTTCGGAAACTTCCTCTCCACATCCTCCCACACATCCATGCACCTCCTCTTCTCATCTATGACCCTCGTTCCATACCTGATCCCCTCCGTGGTCAGTTTCTCCTTTACACTTTCCGCCAGTTCTTTTGCAGAGGCCATGCTCCTAGCCTCGGCCGTGTTCATGGCCGTTCGCAGGAGCCGTGCCGCCGTCAGATAACTGTCATGTTCACGGATTGGCACATTACCCACGACAAACACAACCACAGCTACCGCCAGTAGCTGTCCGGCCATCAGCACAGCCAAGATCCCTAGCACCCCGCGTCCACTTCACTTCGAGATAGGTCGTGATGACTGGGTCAGCTGATGCCTCTTCAGCCCGTAGTACCCGTGGGAGCCGTAACTCTGCGCCGATGATGGATAACACCGGTACACGGGCTGTCAGGTGCGCGGCCTTCAGTTCGTAGCTCGGAGGTAGGGGGATTTTGGTCCATCCTTCGTCTGTTTCGGAGCGATTGGGATTGGGGAAACTAAAGAGCACGTCATTGCCCAGGCCAGGAAGTCCCGATTGGTCACTCAGGCAGGTTGTGCATTCATGAGGAGGCTAGCCCGATGCTGTAGGATGAACAAATCGTGGAGCCCGCCATTGGTGTAGATATCTGCAATGGAGTTAGGGGAGCATGTTAGTCAATCTGTGGCATCCGGTTTCAAAGTCCGGGAGATGGATAAGATCAACGTTCTTACAACTCTTGACGCAAGCAAGCGGATTGTCTCGGAAAACATTACTCGCGTCCATGACCCATACAAAGCTACTTGCTGTATACTGCAACCGAGTTATTGTGTGCATTACTTGTAGAAACTCAGACGACTCTGGCGCAAAGCTCTTGCCCATGCCTTGTTGAATCACGACTTGTAAGTTCCAGGGTGCAGAAGCCTGTCTCTGGGCGAACACTTACCGTCAGATATGGTCCCAACATGCATTCCATTCTCATATACATCGTTTTGGAATGTAGTGCGAGCCTTGCAGGTTGAGGAGCTACGAACAAATTTATCCGTGGATGGGTAATCCTCTAGGCCGCGATACTCATGAAGGTAATATGTGTACGTGACGTTGCGTGTGCTTTCATCGACATTGCGATGCAGACCTTTTCGTCCGATATCTTTCATATTCCAGGTTGACTGGTCACTTTCGTTAAACGTAGTAGGCGTGGCCATCATGCCCGTCAGTTCAAAGGTGACCATATTGTCTGAATTCAAATGACTTGAAATAGCATCTAGGTCCCAATTCCCTGCGAATTCTTCCCTCTTGAGTTTGCCGATCCAAGCTTTGGCGTCTCTGGTATCATGGTAAGAGTTACTTACCTAACTTGTCAAGAATTTTACTCCCTTGCATCCACTGTTGATCGCCAAAATCGGTGACTGCAACGGGAAAGACGACATTCTTCTTCAAGTCATACAAAAACCCGAATATCGCGACACTTAACCGTCCGATGATATCGACAATCAGATTGACAAACACTATTAACGCGGTAGTCGACCATCTTGTCAACCTAAACCTCCCAGACCGCCAGCTTCCCGAGCAATGCGTCAGCAGCTTGACTGCTGCCGTAGAGTTGCCAATGCCCAAGAGCAGATCGACTTCCCTTGGGGTATGCGGGCGCGCTGCTAACAGTGACCAACGAAGTGCGGCTCCCAATAATCCCAACAACGAACCGACCGACAAGCTGACAAGTGACGAGAAGAAGATGGTCAGAGAGCTGAAGACGCGGCGTTCCCATGTGCTTCAGGAGGGTTTTTTGACAAAGAACCAAAGAACCAGTTTAAGCAGGATGCTAAAGAGTAGAGAACTCAACAGGCGCCACGAGACGCTCCACCATGGAGATCCCCCGGCATGATTGCTCCGAGTTTTGGTTTGTGGCTGTTTTGGATTAGTTGCTTCCCCGAGGGATTGCTGTGAAGAGAAGGAGTGACAGGAGGGCGGCCTATATATGCTGTTTTAAGAGAAGTGACGAGATGGTGATCCAGATAAATTGTTCAGTTTCTCAGGTTCGACTTGGACTGTTGGAACGGGGATATATCCTTCAGGAGTGACCATGGTATTGACCGTACGCCCATCGAGAGTGATCATGGTGTTAATCACATATCCTTCAGGGGTACTGATCGTGTCAAGTAAATACCCCTCAGTAGTGGCCATCCTGTTGGTCATGTCAACTTCAGAGACTTTGCAACAGATGACAAGATGGATAGAGAGATAAGGATGAATCTATGAGGCTCGAGCCTTGAGGCACATTGATTCCAAGATTTATAAGCTAAGCACCAAAGTTTCGTATGCAGATTGAAGGCATTCTTCTGTTGGGGTAGGACAAGGCTATGTGTCCCTAGTTTCTAACAAAAAAAATCATCAGAAAAGCCGATAAACGTCAACTCTGCAGCCAGGGGCGTCGCTTAAGCTTATCCATCCTTTCGCCATGGAAACACTCCCAGATAACGTACAGGGCTTGACAGCATAGGCGCTCACCACCAACTATATTGAGCGAAGCCCAAAATGCACCAACTGGGCAAAGCTGAAGCTGGAACACATCTGCCCATGAGGGATGCAGCTTAGCCTTTACTTGATGAGAAGTGTTAGAAGTATGCTGTTGATTGGTTGGGGGCAAAAAAAAAAAAAAACTCTTCACATTCTTGCTAGTTAAAGTCCAGGGGAAAGAAACATAAAGCCTTGCGCGCAAACTCTCGTGTTGCAGGCGGCTGGGTTATACAAAGCTGGACAAAATAATTATAGCAACACCATGCCCTTTCACTGGTAACTGGATTATCGAGAAAATCTTAGAGAATGAAAATACACAAAACTGCTAACAAAATGGCAATAACGGAGACGAGTATGAGGATAGAAGACAGCCGATATTTAAGGAAGCGGTTCTGACAGAAAGAGTTCACATTACTTCCCCAGCCCGGATCTTGATGTTGGCTGGTGAATGCCATCCAGATCAGACCAGGTCAGATTCGTGCAGTTTAGCTCGGGGCTTTGGGGGTTGTTTTCGAAGCTTACAACAAAGCGCTTTAGGCCTGCTTCATCAAGCCATAACTCACTTCCTGAGATAAGGGTGGTCTTTAGAGTGAGAACAGTCCAGATGACTTTATCCGAAGACTGATTGCATCAGCAGTGAGGTGTATGAGTGATTCAGATAGGGCATCTTAGATCCTGTAAGCCAGGACTGTTGATCGCCTCAACAAAGCGCACTGTGACTGCTAATTCAAGCTTGAGCTCCCAAAACAAGAAATATTAGGACAACGTCATCTGAAGGCTGTTAGTGTCGGTGATAGACTATGAATTGTTCTGGCAGAGAGTCTTGGCTATAGTAACTTGGAATACTGTGATTACACTCTACCTCAGGGGTTGCAGGGATGGTTTGAGCTCTTCCATACAGTGCTTTGAGAAAGAGGACGCCAGTAGCTGGAGATGACAATTTGAAAGGTCGACCAGCTGTCGGGGTGAGAGCATGCCAAACAGCTTCATTTCAAGGCAGTGAGCGCTTGCCATCAGGCTTGATAATGGTTCCCTTCTTAATCTATGCGGTCCTTGTCATCTTGAGTTAATGCAAAAGAAAGAGCCATATCAAGTCGATCTCTTCAAGCACGTGGGTATGTAATCCACTTAGTAGCTCTGGCTGCCCATAATATGTATGTATAATCCGGGGGTATCCAAATATAAATCGCAACAGTCATAACCCATAGCCCTATGTCAGCATCACATGCTAATTAAGTCAACCAAATTCGCTCCCGCTCCCGAACAACCGAGAACAAAATACAATCATCAACACAAATCTGATATGCCCCCAATCCCGTGAGCACTGCAAGGCCAAATATGGGTAGAAAAATGACTAAAATCATGCTCCTTCTTTTTTACTCCGACCATGTTGCTGCTGCTGTCGCTGCTCCCCCGATGCATCCTCACCATTCTCATGGCCCTGCTGTGCCCCAGTAGCAGCCACGGTCCCCTCTCCAGGCAACAATACACCCCCTCCAGGAGCAATCCCGACTAACCCTTCATCAGCTCTCACCTGCTGCTGCACCCTCCCAAACCCCTCCCCCTCAAGCTCATAAACCGGAGTCGAATCCGCCTCATCCGCAACAACAACCGGCTGATACCCGCGAGGACCATATACAAACCCCTGGCCTTGGCTCTGGCTCTGGGAGAAACTACTCGGATGACGTCTGTGACCAGGCATCATCAAAGGGGCATGAACACCGCCATGCTCACTCCCATCACTAGAGAACTCGCTCGTGTTACTCTGCTGTCGCCAGTGGCGCGGGTAAGTAGGGTACTGATACCCCGTACTGGGGACGCGTGGGGACGAGTTGTCAGTTGTGATGCTGTTGCTGTGCATGCGGCGGTGGTGCGGGCTGTATGAAGCCTGGGCTTGTTGCTGGCTGTCGAGGTAGTAGGCATAACCGGGGTTGTTGGTCGGGGAGTCTGCTCCCAGTTCGGAAGCACCAGCCCAATTATATGGAGATGGGGCGGGAGTGATGCTTGAGTCAGATCGACCACGGGAATGGCCTAATCCGGAGATAGGCATGCTGGAGCTGTGGAGGTCGCGGTATAGCCCCGTGGAGGGTTCAACGCTCAGGCTCATGTCGTCGTCGATGCCGGATGTGCGATGGTATTCTTGCATTGGGGGAGGATTAGGAGGGGATGTATAAGACTGGGGAACTGCCCCTCTGTGCCCACGGCTGGCAGAGTCCTCTGTTCGAGTCCGTGATGAGGATTCGTAGGCCTGCTGGACATGCCTCAGCCGGAGGATGACCAGGAACGCGGCGATGACTACCACGATTAAAAGGGCAACCACGCCGGCGATGATGCCGCCTATTGCTCCGGGGCTCAAGCCGCCATTTGAGTCAGAACTGTCTGACTGGCTGGAGGGCGTCTTAGCTGGGACCTTGGTGACCGCGGTGGGAATGAACTTGGCTGCGACATTGGGCTGTTCAATGAATAAAGTAGGCGCAGTAGGGGTCGAGATGCTAAGGGAAGTGATAACAGTCGTGACGAGTTTGTCGTCGACCGTAGTAGTGATGGTCTCGAGGAAAGTCGATGTCACGGGGTCGGTTGAGTAGCACGCAAACTGCGCGCAGGCCATGCCAGTCTTGCAACAGCCATAGTTGAGGGTCGATGGGCAAAGGTAGTAGCCAGTTGGGCATTGCATCGGCGTGACAGTCGCGCCTAGAGGGGGTATGCAAGAGTCTCGCGTGGTGCAGATGTAGCCGACAGGACAGCAACCCCCTGTTCTGATGTCAGATCGAGCCCGTCATATTCTCCAAAGACCACAACTCACCTCCATCTGTCGCAGCACAGTTGTAATATCCTGCCCTCCCACAAGCCGTAGTCGGCCCAGCAGTCGTTGCATAACACGAATCCGCCGCGCATGAATATCTACTCGGACAGCATCCCCCACTCAGCGTCAACGGACACAAATGATGCTCGACCGGGCATGTAAGTTCAAGACGCGCCTTCTCGTCATCGTCATCATCCCTCCGTAGCACTGGCGGCGGAGTAACCTGAGCCCGGGCCTGAGCCTCGGTCTTTGCGACCCTGTGCAGAACGTCATGACGAACGCGGTTCCCCGGAGTGAGAGATGCGGCTGTTTCCCGGCCCAGGAACGCTATACACAGCAGTGCAACGCAGGACGGACAGGACCAAAAACTGGGCATAGCGATAGCGGGCTGTTTCGAGGTGGTAAAACGGGCCGGTTATGCTTGCTGGGAGATTACCCGGGCTGCGAAAATCGGGATCGACGCTGTTCAAACGGAACGGCGCATGGGCGTTGCCGACGAGCTTGAAGCCATAGGCTGCATGCGGGTAGCCAAGCAAGACGCTGGTTGCTTTGAAATTCTCCGATGTCGATATCGCCAGCTTGTTGTTTCTTCTCATCCGTCACAGGCACTTTGAACTCGATTCGCGTTGTCAGGGATGAAAGACGGCAAGATGACAAGGGATAAGGCTGGGCAAGCGACTCTTTTTGATCCATAACGCGGGGGCCCAGGCCGAAGCATACAGCAAGCGTGCAGCTTTGCAGAACGCCACTTGCGTGTCGCCGAGATGTGAGTGGTTGCAGGCGGGGGCGGGACGGGCTTTTGGAATCGTTTTTGCAAAAGCCGCCAGCCCAAGCCGCGTCTTCTTCCTGGCACCTCCAGCGCTGCCTTGGGGTCGACTTCATCAGAGTTCGGGTTAGTTGTAAACTCGGAATACTCTTTCCACACAGAGCTTGCGCTTCACGTATTGAGTGATAGTAGTGCAGGGCGTTGTGTTTGAGTTGGCTGCAGGTAAATCAAATTCATGCTTCATGAGACATCTCGTCAAGTGTCAGATCGAAGTCGAAGATGGGATGTCAACGCCTCAAACTCTTTAGGAAAAAAAACCATGAAGCCCGAAATAACACCGGTGCCGCCAGAGGTGGCTTGGACGACCGCATTTGCAACAGTTCGCAGCCGTGGAATGCCTGGGGCAGATCTTCCATAGAAAAAAATGCATCTATGGTTCTCTAGTAGGAAAACCACCAAACACCTTCACCAATCATCTTCCTCTCAACAATCATCTCGCGTGCTGCTGAGCCGGCCGCTTGCCTAACTTGTGCAGTGGAGGCTTGGAGGATGGTGTCAACGGGCACCTCTGCCGAGTCCCAGCCCATCACCGACAGTGTCACTGGACCACCGCTCACCACAACCCAGGGGCCAAGACGGAACAGAGTCCCATCCGAAGGATCCCACAATTCAGCTTCGAATCAAGGCTGCTTGAGTGCCCAGCGCCCGACAAGCATTCCCTCAAACCGACCTGTGTCAGCTATCGCACGATGTTGTCCGTACTGAACCGAATCTTCGACCTCGGTCTTCTTGCCTTCTCGAACACCGTTGACGAAAGATAGTGTTGGTGCCAACGAGATCCGATCGGCAAGCAGCGGGCCCTCGAAGCCGGTGAAAATGCGAGCGGACCACTCATCGCTCAGAGTCAGGGAGCGTTCGATTTGCTTGGACCCCGCGCTAATTTAGTTCCTCCGCCGCTTAAAGCTGTGGCAACCCCCGTTTGGCATTTACGTCCTGTTACAACGGCTGGCTGCCGGGTTTCCGGTTGCCGACCACAGAGTTTCCACCATCGTGCCGAATGTGATTTGTTCGCACTATGACCGCTTGCTCGTGCGGCGCATGTCGAACAGCCCGCGCCCCGAGCTCGGGAGATGGTGTTGGCTTTCGTCCCAAAGTTGGCTCTTGGGGCTTTGTTTCTGCGAATCTGGGTTGGGTTCCTGGAAGTTTTGGGCTGACAGCTGTCAACTGCTGGGCAGAGCGTTGGCAGCCGCTGTCATGATTATGTAATAATGACTTTTTTTTTGCTGACTGTAACAGTATGTATGGAACTTTCCATTGTTGCCCCGCTGCGCAGCGAAGACTGACGATCGGAAGTCCGGGGCTTCAGTCAGGTGCCAAGACCATACACGATATGCCAGCATTTGATAGCAATCCAAGTCTCAAGTATTTCGTGTCGAAATTCTATCTAATACTAGTTCTCGCTAGCTGAGCAATAATTTGGTTTGATCAAGCATAGAGAAAAGCCTCATGATGAAAGTGAGTGTTTCAGCCGCATGGTCAAGAGCGGATGCAACGCTAGAAGATCCCAGCACTCCAGTCATATGGAGTCATCAAGCGGGCTCTAGCCTTAGGCAGTACGATCCTGTATCTGTGTGTAAGATACCTACATACATGTGATCTTGCACAGTGTGCCGTACGCAGGGGGACCTTGGCTCAACTAACCACATGCCGCTCTGCTCTGTAAGCAAGCTGTGTGGACATCGGGGATAGCGAGGTCCCGATTTGCACCACACCACGGGGAGGTTCTAGAAGGCTAGAAAGAGCCCCAGACAGCCTTTGGGCCAGCTCACGCGAATTCCGAAATCCGCATAGCTCATTCACTTCTTGTTTGACTGTTAGTGCAGAACTTTGGGCAGGGCTCCTGGTCAGCCTTATACTGTAAACCACAGTTTTATTGCTCGAAATCACCAGTTTTTGGTTAAAAACTTAGCTGGAATGATAAAGCAATGAATTTTCTATTAATTAATACCGGTTTATTGCTGTGAAAGTGGTTGTTTTGTGGTTGTCGGTTATACCCTCTTCCCGAAGTCTTCTGCTAACGAATAAACCAGGGGAGGGGGGGGGGTTGGACGCTTTGACAGTTGCCTTCCAGTCCCCAGTCCCTTTGTTCGTAACCTTGTCGATCCGTAGAAGGCAAGCCGGCAAAAAAAAGCGAACACCTCGGGCCAAAGCTCTTCACCAGAATCCAACTCTACACAACTCCCGAGCCCCAGACCTTGACCTCACCCTCCTAAGCAGGTAGGTCAGGCAGCCAAGACTGGAATAGTAACAGCAAAATGTTACTCTCCCCGGAGATGGCATTGAGCCCTTCCGTTCGGATCTCATGTTCACACCACAAGGTGACCCAAGGGTGACCACTAAGACCACACACGCCCGCCCGGCGCCATGCCCAACTCCAGCGCGCGCAAGAATTCCCCCCATGCTCTTACATAGACTACACCAACAACCCCGGCCTCTCCCCCTCCCCTTCTCGCCAATCCTCACCATCTTCGCCCGATCAAACGACTGCCGATCCCCCATCCCGATCGCTGAGCCCCCGCTATATGCCCCTGTTACCCGTAACGGGCCACGGAACCGTCCACCGAATGCCACGGTTCCCCCCGTGCGCGCGCCGTTTTATGCTTAATCCGTAGTGTACACTGTAAACTCGCAGCCTTCGACGGTCGGCTGGGCTGCTTCTGCCGAGCTACTCGCCAAAAGGCAGCCCCTCATTGGCTGGTGGAGAGTCATTGACACGACTGCCCTGGTGACTTGGCGCGCTGGACGCATGCTTCTAGCTGCTGCTTCGTTTCAAGCGAGCGCGGGGCTGAGCCGGGGTTCGGTCGGCTGCTACCGATGGAGAGCCGGGCACCAGGTTCAGGAAGGTTCAGGAAACGAGCAGGGCTAATACCCAGCTTGTCCCTGTAGAGTAGGTTGAGATTGGGGCCTGGCGGTGTGTGATGCAAGAGTTGCTGTCTTGGGAAGTGAAACGCTGTGATGCTTGTCTGGGAATCGGAGAGCCTTCCGAGCTTGGGACCTCTGGGCTGGCATGGGTGGCTGCTTTGGGTGCTTCGTGATTCGTGAAGTGCCTGAGGTGTGATGTGCTGTGGAATATAATTTGGCCTTAGGGGAGTTTGTTGGGAAGGGCAGGTGCCTGCTCAGGGACAAGTGCCGGACTGTATCTGTATATATGGCCTTTTGATCTGCCACATGGTGATTGAGTTCTGGTACAGGGTTGTACAGAAAGAGACATCCGTCCATTTACGATATTCTTCGCCGAGTGTCAACAGCAAAGTTAATGTTTAATGTGTGACTTCAATCCTAACACGCCTATCATGACGAGCAAAAGCCTCACTCCAAGCCCCCCAGCGGGGGCCCCGCTAGCAGGACAGAACGTTGCAGAGGGAAAGATGTTGCTGTACACTCGTGTTGCCCCCCCCAAGCAACCCAAAAAACGTTCACGAGGTGGTACGTGTGCTTGCTGACCAACCTATGGGAAGATTACGGACCAACTGACATCACATCTCCACGCAGGATGTACATACTGGTGCGTACGTTGCTCAGTTCACTACAACAGCTCTATTCCACTGAACTTGGTCGTTGACTGACATCGCCTACAGCAAGGAAAAGAAGAAAAAATGCGACGAAGGACGCCCCAGCTGCTCTCGATGCATCAGCCATGGCGTTGAGTGCTCCTACGAACCAATAAAGCCGCGCCAAAGGCAGCCCAGGAGACGTGAAGCATCGGCAACACCTACAACAGCACAATCAGCACTTCCAATTGATACCGTTGTGGAGGATCGAGAGCCGTCGAGCATGTACGAGATGTGCAGGAGGATAGCCGCTGCGTCAGCCGCAGCATCATCATCTTCAACTGCCGGCCAACTTCCATACTCTGGAAGCAGGGCGCAAACAACAACCCCTAACAGCATGCTGTCCCTACCATATCACACCCGATACCCAACCGGGAACAAGCCCGATAGCTTCTCTCCCTTCTACCCGCCAATACCGTCCCAAACAGCAGACCTTCTCTCTCCAATAGACACCCACGACCGCCAATCCGACGATCCCAACAACCAACAACCTCCTACCGCAACTAACGCCCTCACTTTAACTTCCCATCAACCCCCCTACCGTGCCTTCATCCCCCCTCTCACAATCCCTCACTTCTCCCCGCCGAACTTCATCGAAATGACCCCCGACCCCCATCGACGCGCCCTCCTCTTCCACTTCTGTCGCGTTCTCTCGCACCGCATCGTCCTGCGCGAGGAGACAGGCAACCCCTTCCAGCGATTCGTGCTGCCCCTAACGATGAGGGAGGGCGAGCCGACGCCAGTGTTTTGGGCGTTGCTGGCACTTTCGAGCGGGCATAAGGAGTATCGCCTCGGAGGGGGGGATGAGGGGGGGGAGGAGGAGGAGAAGGGGAAGGAGAATGCAGTTTGGTTCCATAGTATGGCGTTAAGGGGGTTGGCCGGATGGATTCAAAAGGGAGAGAAGGAGAGGAGGAATGAGATGCTTGCAACAGTGATGTTGTTGGTTTATTATGAGTGTGTAAGTCTTCACTAGACCTGCAAGCAACAAGAAAAATAAAAAAGAAAAGGAGAGAAGGGGAAGGGGGGGGTGGGGTACAGGCGCGATGCTGACCGAGACAGCTTGTACAAAAAGGCCACTCGAATATGGTCACAGGCCATCTAAAAGGCGCTCTGACGATCATGAGTACGATGCCCGACCCGCCGGACCCAACAAGCACCTTTCTAGAGAGGGTAGGTCTCCCCTTTTTACCCCTGAAACCCCCACGAGTCCGTCCCACACTAACGACGTAGGCTTTCCGATTCTACGACGTTATAACGGCCCTTTCCAACGGCGCTGCTCCCCTCTCAGCAGCCCCTCAGCCAGGCTGCCTGCGTCCAATCTCCCCCCTCGGCACACCTATTCCTCCTCCTTCTCCATCTCTCGACTCCGATTCCGGTCCCTCGTCATCCCTCAACGACGTCGATACGCTCCTTGGTATGACAACAACCCTCTGGCCCATCATCCATCGCCTGGCTGAGCTAAGAGCTCTACGCTCCGAGCTGGACGCTGCGATAGCGGCACAATCAGCGAAAGCCCCCTCCTCAACAAACACAAATACCAACGTCGAGGTTCTCCGCACAGCCCTCGAAACCGCCGCCAAGGGCATCGAAAGTGCCCTGCTGCGCTGGCACGCCAAAAAACCTTCCGGCTGCGCAGCCGACGAAATAGATGTCGACTTCTCTCAGCCATCATCCCCAGCAAACCCTTCCTCTGCCTCATCCCCTTCCTCCCCGTCATCAACCCCATCCTCATTCGCCTCCGTCCGCGTCCTCCCCTCTTCCGACCCCTTCGAAGCCCACCTCTCCTCCATCCACCACAACTCTATGGCCTACCGGCACGCTGCCCTCGTCCATCTCTACCGCGCCATTCTTCCTCCCCCGTCTTCGTCTCAGGCAAGCATCCGCACCCAACAAATCCAGCACCATGCGCACCTCGCACTAACACACTGCGCGCTCGTCGTAGCGCACGGGGGGCCTGTGGCGGCGTTATTGTGGCCCATGTTTGTTGCGGCGTGTGAGGCGCTGACGGTGGGAGATCGGGCGCTGGCCACGGAGGTTTTCGCGGTTGTGGATAAGAGGCAGGGGATGAGGAATATTGGAAGGGCGTGGGAGATTGTGAGGGAGGTTTGGAAGAGGAGGGATAGGGGCGAAGGGGGTTGGAGAGAGGGTGAGTTGTGGAGGTTGGTTGGGGAAGAGATGGGGGTTAGTGTTGTTTTTGGGTAGCTTGAAGGACTTACAATGGGGATAGAATGGGCTTGTATATTAGAATTGGATATTGGCGTTCATTTGGATGTAAAATTAGGAATCTTGGGATATAAGGGATCGCTCGGATGTAAAGGCCTTGGGTATCAAATCGACATCTCTCTGGCGAGCGTATAATATCTGGGCTGCCAATGGGTTTCACGATGGAGCCGAGAAACCGAGACGCGAACTTCATAAACTCGCGGGGTTTCCAAACAAACTTCTACTTAGAACTCCGTTCAAGTGGCACAACCACAAAACCCCCACCTGTTCATCGAGGGATGGTAATGTTTGGTACCGGACGAGATTGGTTCTCTGACAGCTTGATGCTGCTGGGCGTTGTAACCCCCCTGGAAACAATGCGTCACCATGCGTAAGTTGATAAGCCTGATATGCATATATCAGGGCGACTAGCCTAGTTTGGTTAGATGCATAAACTATCCCCTGGCCCGCTTGCGAGCCATTAGATAAGCCAATCTTCCAAATGGCATCCTTGCGCCCAAGACGGCACCACCACGGAAACACGCACTATTTGCAAACATGGTCGCCGTCGACCCCATTGACATAGCGACAGCTCGTTGCGTCGCAGACGCGATAATGCAAAGTTAACATGCAGCTGGCATGGGAGCCGATCCCATTGGGCCCTGCGGGCGGTTGGAATTGTGCCGGAAAGAGGGGTCTTTGTGGGCAGGTCTTGGCACGGCGTGGCGCCAAGAAGTATGTGATTGGCTGCCCAGAGAAAAGGGCAGTCGAGGTGGTGTCTTTTGGACAGGGTACTAGGGTTGCATCATCCCTCGACTGTTTACCAAATGCTTTGCAGAAGCCGCCGCCTGCGGCCTAATCCCCGTATCTTGGCGATTCGTGGTGTTTGCTTGTGCTCGTATGATTGTGGCTAGCTTTGTTGGTTTGTGCCAAAGTTCTTCGTTGAAATGTGAAAGCGTTCTCGAGATCCTTCCATCTGGGCTCTCTTCAGCCTGCTAGGGTGGGACTGTGCGAGGGCCGAAGTTGGGACCCGGGTCCAAAAAGGCCAGGATTTAACAAGACCACAAACAAGGCACCAAGCTTGTCGCAAATCATAGGCTCCGAAAAGTTCGAACTTTGGGATCTCAGCGTCGGCGCGGTAGCCGACGAGAAGGTTCCCAATTCTGAGCGCATCAGAGGTAGACAAAGACAAAGAGCCTGATGATGGAAGTTCTGACAATATCTAAAATGGCTGCATAGACACAGAGTGGGAGGGTTACACAAAAATTGGAGGCACCATTTGGCACAAGCAAGGCCGCGTTGGACGCAGCCAGGCGGTCACTGGTGCTTTAGGGAGTTGCATTGAAGAAGCCAACGGACGATTGACACGCCGAGGACCAGCGCAACGGATGCCGGCACACACCAGCATCAACTAGGCCTGCGATATGTGTCTTGAGGCTTGGGATCAATAGCAAGACCAAGACACACACACACACACACACACACACACACACACACTCTCTCTCTCTCTCTCTCTCTCTCTCTTGCTCACTCACTCACACCGCACACACACACAACCAACACGTTCAGTGTTAAAACCTAACCCTGCGAATCCGAGAATACCGTCGTTGCACTCGAAACTGTCGAGGAATGCGACAGCGCGAGTGACGCTGACGATAGTGATGAAGGGAAGATGCAAGGGAGTCCTCAAATCGCACGAAAGCTGTCGCGCGACCAAAAACCAGCCCGTTTCACGGGGAGGGGAAAAAGCGGAAATGAAGGCCGACGACTCGTAATAAGAACAAGTTTCGGCACTGGCGTCTGTGTCACGCACGACGGGACGAGCAGAAAATAATCACGACGGTCGACGACGCTGCTGCTGGTGTCAAGGACATCTAAGATTGAGTAGCGCGATTGCACTAGAACGGCAGCGGCCCGAAAGCGCGAATGCACTGCATGCGCGCGGCGATTCTTATCGCAGTTGTTGGTTCGTCGCTGTCGCGCTTTTTGAATCGCCAACAGAATTGATGTCGATGATAAAGCTCGAGTCAAATCCCAGAGTTAAGACACGACACTTCCTTTTCTAAAGACCCAAAATCCCCAGATCACACAATAGCGCAATGTGCGATCGTGTTGGTGCTCGTTTTGCGCTTCGCGGGGAATATTATTCTGTCCTGCAAATGGGCGGGGGAGGGGAGGAGAACGGGAGGGGTCAGGATTGTAGGATGATGTTACGTGGGAGCAGGTGATGCGGCTTGCAGACGGACGGCAAGGCAGGCTCGGGTGTGTCAGCCAGTGTCTCCGAGGTGTTCGTCGTCAAGGCTGAGCGAGTTCGTCGATCTGTCTGTCGATTCTTGTCTTGATTGGGATTGGGGATTCGATTTATGACCCGTGATGGGATCAGGGCGCAAGCGGCCTCGAAGCCGTCCTTCACTCCTCCCGGCCGTGCCGTGGTTCCAAGGCAAGGATATGGGTAAGATTTGATGTTGGGAGGGAAAGGG